GTGCTGAGCCTGGGGGTGCTACGCCTGGAGGTGCTGAGCCTGGGGGTGCGGAGCCTGAGGGAGCTGGGCCTGCTCGTGTGGCGTCTGGCGGTGCTGAGCCTGGAGGTTCTCCGGGTGCTTCGTCTCGGCGGGAGCCACTCTCTCCACAGGAGCTGCGAGAGTGGTTTGCCCGACGCTGGAGGCGTGCTGCTGGAGCTGGAGGTTCTTCGACTGCTGCGGGTGCTGGTGCCGCGGGTCCCGGAGGTGCTCGTACTGGGAGTACTGGAGCTGCTGGGCCTGCGGGTACGCCTGGAGCTGGAGCTGCTGAGGGTGTTGGCGCTGAGGCTACTGCTGTCGGTCCTGGAGGCAGTCCTGCTGGGGGTGCTCCTGCTGCTGCTGGAGGTACTGGAGCTGGAGGTGCTGCTGGCGCTGGTGCTGCCGCTGGGGGTACTGGTGCTGTCCCTGCTGTGTCTGGAGTCGCCGCGCGGCCTCGGCCGTACTTCGTTCCGCTCCTTCAGCAGGTTCTTGGTCTCCCGCCTTCTACTGGTCCTCCTCCTCCCTTAGAGTGTCCACAGCCTGTCCCGTCCCAGTTACAGTTACAGCCGGCCTTCACACTGCCCGCTCCTTCTCCCTACACTGGTCCTACTGGAGGTCTGGCTGAGCGTCGTGAGCCTGCGTCTCGCCCTGCGTCGCCTGTCCGTCTTGCTCGCACTAGTGGCCGTGGTTCGCGTCAGCGTCCTCCTCCTGTCCCTGGCACGCACCGGATGTCTCTGCGTCCGTCCACTGCTCCTCTGCGTGCCCCTTTGCCTTCTCCTCCTGAGTCCTCTCTTCCTGCTCTTCCCGACCCGGAGTCGGACTCTCTTCGTGCTGCCAGTCCTACTGTCACGCGTCTCCTTGCTACTGTCGTCACTGACCTTTCCTTTGAGTCCACTGCTGCGTCTTCCCTAGTTGCTGAGCTCGTCGACTTTGCTGCTCACTGTCGTCTAGACTACGCTGCTAGTCTTGTCGTTGCGTCTGAGTCTGTCTGTCCTCCGTCCGTCGGGGGTGAGTGTGCCCTTGGCACGGACGTCCTTGAGGACAGGCAGGAGGAGTTCCAGTGTTTGGCTGCTGCTTCACCTCATCTCGTGTCCGTACTGCTTACCCCTGAGGGAGACCCGGATGCACTTGACATCCCGACTCCGCGCTCTTACGCGGAGGCGATAGAGGGTCCCTACTCCTCTCAATGGCAGGCAGCTATGGACACAGAGATGGCTTCCTGGAAGTCCACAGGCACCTACGTTGACGAGGTTCCCCCGCCTGGGGCGAACATCGTCAGTGGCATGTGGATTTTCAGGGTGAAGCGACCGCCGGGTTCTCCGCCTGTCTTCAAGGCACGTTACGTGGCTCGTGGCTTCAGTCAGCGGCAGGGAGTTGACTACTTTCAGACCTTCTCTCCCACCCCGAAGATGACCACTCTTCGGGTACTGCTGCACATAGCTGCTCACCGCGACTACAAGCTGCACTCTCTTGACTTCAGCACTGCTTTCTTGCAGGGCAGCCTGCACGAGGAGATCTGGCTGCGTCGCCCACCTGGCTTCACTGGGTCTTTTCCTCCTGGCACCCAGTGGAGCCTCCGGCGGCCAGTCTACGGTCTCCGCCAGGCACCGCGTGAGTGGCACGACACACTGAGGACTACACTTGCGGCTCTTGGGTTTGCTCCCTCTACTGCCGACCCGTCGCTGTTTCTGCGCACCGACACTTCTTTGCCGCCGTTCTACATCCTCGTGTACGTCGACGACTTGGTCTTTGCCACAGCTGACACTACTGGACTCGCCCACGTGAAGTCCGAGCTGCAGAAGAGACACACGTGCACAGACCTGGGTGAACTGCGCAGCTACCTTGGCTTGCAGATCACCCGGGACAGAGCACGCCGCACCATTACCCTGACTCAGTCACACATGGTGCAGCAGGTCCTTCAGCGCTTCGGCTTCACGTACTCCTCGCCTCAGGCCACTCCTCTGCCTACTCGCCACTCGCTCTCAGCTCTGCCTTCGGATGAGTCTGTAGAGTCAAGTGGCCCGTACCCAGAACTTGTTGGCTGCCTCATGTACCTGATGACCTGCACACGACCTGACCTCGCATACCCTCTTAGCATTCTCGCACGCTATGTTGCTCCTGGGAGACACAGACCGGAGCACATGGCTGCAGCGAAGAGGGTGTTGCGTTACTTGTGCAGTACGTCGGGCATGGGGCTTGTGCTTGGAGGGCAGAGTCCAGTGGTCCTCACTGGGCACGCAGACGCTTCTTGGGCTGACGACCAGGCTACGCAGCGGTCGTCACAGGGTTACACCTTCAGCCTTGGTTCCGGCTCTGTTTCGTGGCGGGCTACCCGCTCGTCTTCTGTTCTCGGCTCCAGTTGTGAGGCTGAGATCTACGCCGGGGCCATGGCTGCACAGGAGCTTCGCTGGCTCACCTACCTGCTGACTGACCTCAGAGAGCCGCCTCGTTCTCCTCCAGTGCTGTACGTAGACAACAAGGCCATGCTGGCCTTGTGTCGAGAGCAGAGACTGGAGCACAGAACGAAGCACATTGCTCTCCGCTACTTCCTTGCTCGTGAGCTACAGCAGCGTGGTCAGCTGCGGCTTGCGTACGTGGCCTCTCAGGCCAACACTGCTGATATCTTCACCAAGGCACTTGCGCCTTGTGATCATCAGCGCTTCTGTACTCAGCTAGGTCTTGTGCCTACCTTGACTCACTTGCTCACCCCTTGACCTTGTTTGTACTGTTGCATATATATATACACCTGCTCTTGCCTGTCTAGCCTTATATATATATGTAATCCTGCATGTGAACTGGCCTTGTGGCCTTGAACTTGTGCTCGGAATGTGTGGTGACTTTGTGATCCACCCTGAGCTTGCTTTGCTTTGCTTGACTGGTCTTGTGACCCCTTGTTCTCCCCCACTTTGCCTATGGGGGTGTGTCAGATTTATATGACATAGCTACTGTAGGCTATAGTGGGGTAGCACATATGGGGTACAGTTTTCTAGGGTTTACATTTGTACCCAACTTTCCCTTAGTCATTTCATTCTCGTTTCTATTCTCACAGGTTGGGTTTCGACAACTGCCGCACGATCCCGGGATGTACCGGCTAGACGACAAGGGGAGCTATGCGTTGTTAGTGGCTTACGTGGACGACATCCTCTACGTCAGTTCGTCAACTTCGCTGGGTGATCGTATCGAAGCCGATCTGAAGAAATCGCTTGACTTAACCATTTCCACCAAAGTAACTCAATTTCTGGGGTTAAACGTTTCGCGAACTTCTTCCGCTATTCATCTCACGGCTTCGAAGTATGCGGAGTCACTCGCTAAGCGTTTCAACATCTCCACGGATTTCATTGCTACACCTTATCGGTCTACACTCACCGGGCACGTTCCCAACCTGAAAAAACTGTCAGCGGCTGGTCTTCAACTGTATCAGCAGCAGCTGGGATGTCTTCTTTTCGCAGCAGTCACCTGTCGCCCTGATCTTGCCTACGTCGCAAGTCACCTTGCCCAGTTTCTACGCTGCCCGAAAGAAGAACACTCTCTCGACTTACAGCGTGCGCTACGCTACTTCGTCTCTACACCAACAATCGGGTTGATTTTCAACGCTGGGAAGCCGACCGACAAAATGTACCTCAGCGGGTACGTTGACGCGGACCACGCTGGCGACACGTCAGATCGACGGTCACGCACGGGTTATATTTTTCGTCTCGAGCCGATTGGTCCGATCTCCTGGAATTCCTCGAAACAGGAACTCGTGTCACTTTCATCGGCTGAAGCAGAATTCATCGCCGCCTGTGCTGCAACTCGCGAAGGTCTGTACCTGCAGGAATTGCTTGACGAAGCAAAATTCGTCACGCCGAATCAGTTCACGTTGCAGTGCGACAACCAGAGTGCAATTACCATCGCCAACAAGCCTGGTTTCGTCAATCGCACGAAGCACATTTCACTGCGTTACTTCTTCGTAAAAGACGCGATCGACAAGGGGAGAATGCGCCTTGTCTACTGCCCCACCAGTGACATGGCCGCTGATTCGCTTACTAAGAAGCTGACACGTCAGAAATTTCATCACTGCAACCAGCTCAGTGGCATTTCCGAGTCAACAGGGTGACTACACCGAACTCCTAGAAGTGAAGGGGAGTGTTGAGATAATATCGAGACTTGTGCACTTCAAGGAATTCGTGTAGTGTAGTTAGTACAGTAAAAGTACCGATAGGCTGACGTCAGCAAAGCGCTACGCGCTCTAGGATGACGTCAGCAAGTAGCTGTAGGTATCGCGAATAGTCACGTACCGTTTCAGGCTAATAGGTACATTAAGCGAACAGGTACTTTATCCTAGTATATATATCCTGTATGTTTGTCATTTCTTAATATACTTGATTTCAGAGATATTGATCCTGTTACAAGTCACTCATATAAGACTTCCACTGCTACAGGAAGCTACTATCCTAAGACTACGATCCTATTCAGACAGCTTAAATTCTAACAGCTTGTATCCCTTTGTTTTAATCAATCTACTTTGCCCTCACATACTAGCGCAAGGTGTGGTTCACAAAGTTCTCATTAAACGCTTCCGCTATTACTTTGTCCTACTCAGAATTTAGTCCTTCAAAGATCCTAAGGGCTTTTTCAGCCCAGCACATATAAGCCCCGGGCAAACTGGTGTCCATCCATCACATTTTGATTGTGAAAAAAGGTACATTACTCCTCAATTGGTACGGTATCTCTTCATGAGAATCAATACATAGTGTGACATACGATCAACATTCAAGCTCACAAGAATGTCTCTTGCTAACTAGAGATGTTCTCACTGCAGTAACCCAAGGAGTGGATGAACTCGCATCACAAGCCACAAGTGCAACAGCCTGGGTCAACAGTCTGGGGCATACACCCTCTACTGCTATAAATATGATGACTGGGAAACCCATACCCTATAAATCTTTAGCGCACAGCAATCCTACAACTCAAGCCCTACAACCAACTAAGCAGCGGCGGCTCTTCTACAGCAGCCAGAGTGCCGCGGCTGCCTTTGGCATGCAGGCAGGTGAAGGAGTGCCATGGTCCGAGGCGCTACATTGTGCAGCACCAGTTGAGGCGCACACCGTGGACTCGCCTTCTCCAACACCATCGCATGCCAGTCGCCTCGCCACACACGTACACGCCTTGTCTTCCCCACACCGCTCTGCTGCACCCCACCTGCGCCCTGCTGCACCAGCGTGCTGCCACAGCCTGCTCACACCCAACCATCCCCACACCGCCATGGCCCACACCCGTGCTCCCAATCCCGTCCCTGCTGCCCCTGCCTGCCATGCGCCTGTGCATGCCCACGCCTTATTCCATGGACCATCACGCCGCACTGCACACGCCCTCAGCCCCGAGCCATGCCCCATGGCCCACCCCGTGCCTGCTGCTCTGCTGCCCGCCACACCACCTTCACCTGCAGATGCGCTGCTGCCCCGCAGAGCGGCTCCCAACCCCCCGTGCATGCAGGGACGGCAGCGGAAAGAGGCTGCGAGGGCATGGGGCAGAAGGGGGGGCTGACGGCAGTCTCGAGAGGAGGCTGCCTCGCACTCCGCGCTCAGCGGGTTAGCTTGCTCGCCTGCCGCTCCTGCGCCCGCACGCGCAATTCTACCCTGCTACACGCGCTATTGGGGTGGCTGGGTGGCTGCACGGCTGGGTGGCTGGCGGCTGGATGGCTGGCGGCTGGATGGCAGGATGGATGGATGTGCGGATGATGGATGGGTGGTGCATGTACGGCGCGTCCACGACTTGCCCCACAACTGCTACGCTGGAAAAACAAAATGCTCAGCACCTCGTGCGCCGTTCTCTGGACCAGCAGCCCCAAAGCGGCAGCCGGCTGCAAAATAAATAGAATAGAATGGCAGTGCGTACCCCACCCTCTTCCCGTGACGCGCGCGCGGCTATCAGTCCGTCGCGCACGAGCGTCTCTGCCACGCAAACCCGTGCTCCTCCAGCCGCTCGCCCACGTCGCGGGGCAGCGCGCGCATCCAGTCCCAGTCCGCGGCGACCTTGCGCAGCACGCGCAGCTTGGAGTCGAGTCCGAAGCAGCACGTGGCGTGCACCGTCACCAGCTCCGCCATCCGCGCGCCCATCTCGCAGAACCCGCCGAAGTGCGCCGTGGGCAGGTAGCGCACGGTGAGCGGCGTGGCGGTGCGCGTGAAGGGGTTGGCCTCGGGGCGGATCCAGTCGAAGATCTGCTGAATGCGGTGCTTCGGTAGCCTGCCGCGCACACGCCACGGGGAGGGGGAGGGAGGAGCGGGAGAGGGGGGAGGGAGGAAGGAACGGGGAGATAGTTTGAGTGGGAGTGGGAGAGAGCGGGACCAAGCAGAGCTGGTGTGGGAGAGAGCGGGAGCAGAAGAAGCGGGCAGCAGGAGGCAGGCGCGAGAGATGGCAGCATTACGGCAGGGAGGGGCGAGTAGGACGAGGGCGCTCACCGCTTGTGCCAGGCGATCCAGTCGTCGAAGAACTTGAGCATGCGAGTGTTGCTGCGCGCCGCGTAGAAGCCGCCGTTGCCCATCACCTTGCGCGAGTCGGCGTGCCACCAGTCGACGCTCATGTGCATGTCCTCGGGCGCGGCGAGCAGTAGGTGCGGCAGCGGGTTGCGCAGCCAGAGGATGTCGTTGTCCGTGAACACCACGTCGTAGCCCTGCGCCAACATGCTCCGCACCACGTGCACCTTCCGCCACACCTGCGCGCGCGGAGGAGAGAGGGGGGGGACAGGGAGGGGGGGAGAGGGGAGGGAATTGAGTGCGGTTTACACGCGCGCGGGGGGGAAAGAGCGGGGGGGAACAGAAGGCGCGGGGACGGTATGGTGACGCGGCGGAGATGCATGGTGGGCGGCGCGCGGCGTACCAGGTGGATGTAAGCGGGCGTCATGAAGTGTTTCTGGTCGCCGCTGAAGTCCTCCTTCTCCTCGGCGTCGTCCTGCCAGTCGAAGTAGCAGTGCAGCCCCAGCGAGCAGCACACGTCGAAGCTCGCGTCGTCGTACGCCACCACCACCAGTCGATCCACCAGCCGGTTCAGCCCCCCCTCCGCTTCCGCCTCCCCCTCCGCGCGACCCTGCTGTTCGACGAGGCGGAGGCGGTCGAGGAAGAAGCGCATCATGGGCGCCCACGCCTCCGACAGCGCCGTCACGATCACCGTGCGCGACAGCGACGACGCCGCCGACGCCTCCACCACGTTGTCGGCGGCCGACTTGCCGTCGCCGCCATCCTCTGCCCCCGCCGTCAACTGCTGCGGCGCCTCGGGGAACGGGCGATCCGGGTCGGGTAGCCCGCTGGGCCCGCCGTACTCCTCTTCCAACGCCGCCGCTAGCGCCGCCGCTGCCGACGGATCGCCGCCGGCGGCCGTTAATGCACCGTCAAGCACCTCCTTGAGCGTTCTGACGAACGGATGCGTGGGGACGGGGAGAGCGGCGGGATAATGGAGCAGATTGGGGGAGAGGAAAATTAGGAAAGAGAAAAGAGGCGCGCAGGGGAAGAAGAACGAGAGCAGCGCGAACCAAAAAGCGCCTCACAATCGACAAGGCTGCGGCGACACAAGTCCGAGCCTTGGGTGATATACGCTGGATGGGATACCCACACGTGACTGACCAGCAACACGCTCCGCGATATCAGAGCGCGCTGGCAGCTTGCTCAGCCCAGTTTCAAGAGCTTCACACTTGAAACACCGGGTTGAAAACGTGGATGCGAGAGACGGCGAGGCGACATACCTGCATTTGGAACAGGTCGCGGCTGGTTGATTGGCGAGTGGTTGGTCGGAAGGCGGTTGTTTGGCGGACGAGGCGGTCAGCGACGCGAGGAACGATTGTGGTGGTCTGTCGGTCTCGTCGAGAGCTCGTCGCGGCACGGATGACGACGACGACCACTCTAGTTCCGGTCTTATCGCGCCATTGCCGCGACTAAGGTCCCGTATTTGGCCGCCGCACAAGCCCTCGCGAGTCTGGTCCAACATCACTCTCGCGGCCCTCGCTGGAACCGCCGCTACTCTCGGTTTCGCAGGGTGCAACCGCACGGCGACGAGCCCCAGCGACGCGACGGTGAAGACGGTTAGCAGCAACCACAGGCGCGGCAGTCCAAAGTTGCGCATGGTGAGGCGCGGCCAGGAGGCGGTGGGGCTGAGCGAGATGGCGCAGAGCACGGACGCATACGGCGACGCGAAGTGCGACGACGCGGTGAGCGGGTGGGCGCTGCTGTGTCTGGAGGAGTGGAGTGAGTGCGGCTGCGACCTAAGAAATGGCGGGCTTAGCGTGGACGAACATCTACTGTCGCGCTCCAACGGCCCTGGCTCTGTGCACGCTCCCATCTAGGAACCGGCAGATTGTCGACGTGAAGCCCTGCTGCGCGTCGTACTATGAGTCACACCTAACTCACGCAGATGCACCTAGTAGTGAAGTCGTGTGCTTTAATATTTTTTTTTGCTTCGCTAACGTCGGAGGCCCCTTGGCTGAACTTTATAACTGAAGGTTATGCTGACAAGCAAGCAGAGCGTCAAGCACGGCAGGTCTGATGCTGGCATGCAACTTATCAGGATGATTGGTAACGTGGGAGCAGAGTTGACTCATCATGGCATAAGCTGCAAGAAACTCACGACGACAACCTCCTCACAGCTCTCCGCTTCCCTCCAGAATCATCTCGCCCTTCCTCACCGCCTCTTCTTGCTCTTGTTTGTTACTCACCCCGTTTAGGTTTCGGTGCCTTCGCACGGCTGTGAGTGACCACACCACACCACCCGCCAGAATGCTAACTGTGATCCGCTTCCTTGCCTCCGCCTGCTGCCACCTCCATGCTTGGCGCGCTGTTCCGCCTGGTGCTGCCCGCGGTCCGTGGATGCCTCGGCCCACCCAACCTCGCGCCATGCTTGTCCCCCCTAGAGCTGAGGGCGGTGGGCCGGTGGTTGTGGGTGAAGCACTGATGTGGTCGCCGAACTAGGCTTCAGATCAAATAAGCCAAGAGGGAGGCTCGGCAATCGCTACGGCTACAGAGGCGACAATAAGCCTGGAAGAGGTACGGTGACACTGTGTGCAAGCACGTACGTTGTTGAGCCACGCCGAAGCGCCAAGGCGCGGGAATACCCGCAACGGTTTGCGTTGTGGGGCCCCGACGCGGCTTGCCTTTGATAAACGCCTGAACCTGCATGATTCTTATGGAACTATCCCTTCATAATCAGTCATGCGCTAGAAACCCCCTGCATCTTCAAAGCACTCTGATGAGTTGGGGGGAGTTTTAATGGCAGCAAAAGGCTCCTCGACACGTGAGATGCATACTGCACATTCCATTTGTGCCCGGATTGCACTAGACTAGGGTAGGTACGACTCTACCTGAGTTTACAGACCGGCTAAGTAACGCTGTTTAGCTTAGGAACTTCGGACTTTGGTAGTTGAGGACCATTCTTGCCTCTGCATTGCTTGTTGGTTACAATCATATCAAGTCTTCAAACTTAGAACTTAACCAGGGCAATAATAACAAAACTACTCTGTATGAAGGGCTACTTTTCTTGTAGGGTTGGTAATTTGTGCTGGTTGAGGGCATTTACCCAACCACCATAATTCCCTGGCCTGCTAGGCCTACAGCTTTCCATCACTACCAAATCAGCTTCAGATCATGCGAACCACAACGGTATTACATAAGCACATATTGTTACTGAATCGAGGACTTGTCTTTTCTAAGGGTTTTAGAAGAGTTGATGAATGAGGAACTTTTAGTCTATACCCGTATGATTCTCTGTATTTGCTACTCTATATTTGTTCATGAAATAACTTATAGATATTGGTGATTACATTTTATTGTTATGTGTAACTAGGTTTATATGCTGAATTCAGAGACCCTGTAACCACGATATTCTGCATGTGCCGAATCTAGTTCTTTATGAAGTCCATAATATAAGGATGGAGTGCGGTGAATCCCTGTTGTGGAGATGCTTCTCAAGTGCTGCACGATGCCCTACTGACAGAATCAAGAGTTTGTGTCCAGCAAGGCGTGTCCATACCACCTCTGCCCGAGGTCAGCGAATGGGAGCGGTTGGAGCTTTAGCCGGGCAGCTAAGGCTGCACAAGCGTTGGACGAAAGGGCACCAGGTTCTGGGAAGTCACGCAATAAACTTATGTTTCGCTGCCCGTGAATCCATCACTCGTTCCTGAATCCTTCCCTCCAAATATTTCCCGTCTGTCCCTCCTACCCCACGGGCCCCATCACTGTCTGACAATAAAGATCACGATTCACGCCATCGAGTTTTGTTCACTTAGTCATCTCGATTCTCAACCAACGTCGATTCTCAACCAACGTCGGGATCTCTGCTCCACAGCAACTAAGTACACCTAGTCTCATCCTTCCAGGGTGAATCCTTCTAGCGATACGCCCTTAGGAAAGCCTGCTCCACTCCCACTCTAGACAGACCCGGAGCCGCTACATGGCTCCTAATGCCATGTCGCAACCATCGCAGCCCTCATCAGCCGGAAGAGCTTCCGGCAAGCAGGCGGGTCCGTTCAAGCCGGATCTGACGAAGCCGTTGGTGTTCCAGGTGGGATATCTGGGCTAGCACTACGACGACTGGGTGCACCAACCCATCATCAGCCGAACGGGTCCGCGCCTCTTCGGGCCGGACTGGATGGAGTTCTTCACGCAGACGCACTGGTGGATGATCCCGCTCGTCTGGCTCCCCGTCATCGCCTTCGCCGAATACCGCGCCGCGCTCGCCGGCACGCCCAAGGTGCTCGTCGCGCCGTTTTTCGCGCTGGGCCTGGTGGTGTGGACGCTGATGGAGTATAGTCTACACCGATTCTTATTCCACTACCGCACGACGGGCTATTGGACCAACACGCTGCACTACCTGCTGCACGGCTGCCACCACAAGCACCCGCAGGACCGCTTTCGCCTCGTCATGCCACCCGTGCTCTTCGCGACGCTGTCCACGATCGTGGCGGTGCCGTTCTTCGTGGTGTTCCCCGGGTTCCTGGTATGGCCAGTGTACGCGGGAGCCATCTTCGGGTACATCTGCTACGACATGACGCACTACTTCGTGCACTTCGGCGTGCCGCTCGAGCTCGAGTGGATCCGCTTCCTGCGGCGCTACCACATGGCGCACCACTTCAAGGAGTACAACGTGGGATTCGGCATCACCAACTCCTTCTGGGACAAGGTCTTCTGCACCTACCCCGCTGATGACCCCAAGAAGGCGGACGCGGCCAGCAAGGCGGACGCGGCGGGCAAGGCAATGTAGGATTGCTGTCGCCCTGTAGATTGGTTCACGGTTTGGGTGCTGCGGTAGGTTTTTGTTTTTAGGCTGAATTAGTGATTCCCCGAGTGGCTATGGTTGAGAGATGAGCGTACGATGAACATAAAAGCAGTTGCTAGCCTGTACTCGACGTGAACTATGCTTGTCGTTTGTGCCAGGCCTGCCGGCCATTGTTGATACTCTCTGCTCTGATGCTCTCCAGACCCAGCTGGTACGGGGCATGAGTGACCCGTAGAATGAGTACATTATGTTATGTTGTGTTGTGTATTACTCTACTATGCACCTTTCAAAGCAGGGCCCTGTTCACTTCCAAAGAGGTTACCTTTTGTTCAGGTTAGAGTGAAGTCTGGCCTCGCGGAGTTAGGAGTTGAGTGTGTCGCTCTAGATTTAAACGTTTTTCGGGCAGCTACCTTTACACATTAGAAGCTTCAGTAATCTACCATCAATGGGCCCAGCCAACCAAACAGGTAGGCACTGCAACCACCCTTGCCTCTCGGCAGGAGCAGGCCAAGTCAGGCGAGATCAGAAGCCAATTATATCGCGCAACGCAAGGAAGGCCGGCACGGCTTCTTGGTCGAATTTTCTGGCGAAGAGAAAGCAGTGTGTGGGCCGGCCTGCCACTGTGCATGGCCGTGAGGGCGACTGCTTGAGGTAACCCACTGTTTCAGCTGGTGGGAATCGACTCCGCTGCAACACAGCAAGGGAACCGGACGGATCAGTTGAAACGGTCAAGACAGAACCAAAAGGCACAGACAGGACTCGTCAAGGACTGGCAGGCAGGTTAAGAGATAAAGGGGAGGGGACCTACTTGCAAGGAGAGGATGAATTCCCTGGTGACTTGACTCGTGTTGTAGCTCATGGGGTGGCTGGACGAGGACGTGAACCAGTGCACGTACAGCACACTGCGCGGCTCCACTGCCTTCCGGTCCAGCATCTGAGTGGAGGAGAGGACAGGCAGGAGGGAGAGAGCAGCAGGCAATGGTGAGGAAGGCAGCGCGTTGCAATTCACTTCATTAGCAGAGAAAGACAGGAAGTCAGGAACGTGCAAGGTGTGGGGTGACAGTAGGCTTAGGTGCTTACAGCAAGGATGGTTTGAATGTAGCTCTCATCGGGAATCTGCAAGAAACGGACAGGCAAGACACGCATTGAGTGATTGAGAGCAGGAAGAGCGCAAGTGTAAGCAAGCGAGATAGTCTGGGTTGAGGGAAGGGCGAGGCTCAAAGGCGAAATGGGTGATGATGCAACGTGGGAGTGGGGAACATGTGAGAGGCACATGGGGGCAGATGGGCACACCTCAGCGTTGGTTTTGACGAACGTCTCGTAGAACTTGCTGTCCTCCACCACCTTGGCTGCATGCGCTCGCGTCAATGCAAACCACTGCGCACGTACATGCACACGCACATGCACACGTACATGCACACGCAAGGTGGGAGGGAGGGGAACAGGTGTAAGCCACAGGGGAGGATAGTCAAAGTTGAGCCGCAGCAGAGGTGCCTGTTGAGTCAACTCAAATGGTCAAACATTAAGGAGCTCACAGCAACAAACATACAGCCCAAGCGCCTCACCTGCGCCCCCCAAGCGCCTCAACTGTGCCCCCCACGCGCCTCACCTGCGATCCCTTTTTGAAGTCCTGGCCCTTGATGACGGGCGCCATCTCCTTCCGGTACCGCCACACGCTCGCATGGCTACTCGCGCGCACGGCGAATGGAGGGGAGAGGAGGAGAATGGAGAAGGCGAGGTGGACAGGGGAGAGGTCAGATGGTTAGCCGGAGGGGCAAATGGGTGGAGCAGGGAGCAGCAGCGCGGATGAGAAGCGAAAGAGCAAATGTATTTGCATAATGTGAGAGAGGTGAGGCGGGAAGAGAGAGAGATTGTTTGTCACGTACTTTGCTTCAAGAATATGTATTTCCTTCGTTTTTCCTCGTCTTTTCGCACGCTACGACTTCACACAAGCTGGTTACGGTGCGCTACCTCATAACGAAGCATACCTTGTAACGAAGCTCTTGTCGGAGGCCATGAGGTAGTCGAAGACGTGCGTGAAGTTGAATAGCGGCAGACAGCTGCGCCCACCGCGGCGAGGGGCAGCGGCGAGGCGGGTGGGGAGGGAGGCGAGAACAAACAGGGGCCGGCGGGAAGGGGGAGGGAGGCGAGAACAAACAGGGGGCGGCGGGAAGGGGGAGGGAGGCGAGGAGGGAAGCATTGAGGAGGTGTGCTTGGTGACACGTGCTACGAGAGCGCGCAATAAATTTCAACCCGCAAGAACTTCGCCACGACTCCCTCCCCAACCTCCCCCGCAAGGCGCACAACTCCACCCCCTACAAACTCCACCCCTTTCCCGCACTCACGACTCCGACAGCAGCACGAAGCGCTGGTTGGCGGGATCCGCAAGCGCCGCGGCGAGCAGCCGGCGCTCCGCGCGGATGAGGTTGGGACCGCCCCACGTGATCTGGAGGGGGAGTGGGGGGATGGGGCGCGGAGAGGACGGAGAGTGAGCGGAGAGGAGAGAGGGAGAGGGGGATTGAGCGAGCGAGAGAGGGCACGGGAGGCGGACGCGAAGGAGTAAGGAACACGACGGGGCGAGGCAAGGCAAGACGGTACATGACACGCGTGAAGTGGTTCGATGATGACGCGCCACCGCGAGCACTACTGGAAATGAGAAACGCGAGAAAGTGGTCGAAGAAACTGAAGTGGGGACGCCTGGCAGACGAACTCCGGCGAAGAGAGGGGCCTGCGGAATAGCCGAGAGCTGGGGCGGACTTACAGGAACGCTGGGTATTTGGCGGCCGCGGAAGACGGAGGAGTTGACGTGCTTGTCGCACTCGTAGTCGGCGGTGGACGCGTGGATGTAGATGGAGTAGCGCCCCTCGTGGCCCTGCCGCGCGCACATTGGGGGACAGATGGTACGAGGAGAGGCGGAGACACGGACAGAATGAGATAACGGCGAACGGAATAGCGCGATTATGGCGACGCAACAGGTTCTCCGCTTGGTGCCGTGCCTCATAAGTCAAACCTAGCTTAAAACCGGTGGAATGGAGTATGCGAAAAACAGCAATCTCCTGGAGCAGTGACTGAAGGTGGGCATTCAATGCCACGCACACGAGCACTAGCATCGCCGCCACCGGATGATCGCAGAAGCCACGAGGCGGAGAGGCACGCGCAGGTGCACCGCGAGCCGAAAAAAACAAACAAAAAAAAGACGCGAAGGCGGATAGACGGCTAACACGAAGGTGCGATAGGGAAGGATGTTGTCGCGATTGTCGCACAAGCAGAACCGCGCGCACCCTGCGAAGCCGTGCGCACCTGGAAGAATCTTTGCCAGACTCGCTCGAGCGGAAGCGGCCCTCTGACGAGAAATAGGAACGCGATCTTTGGTTGCACGGCGGCGAGATCCGTCTGCGTGGGTTGCTCCATGGCTCGGCGAAACATGTCCTGATCCACCGCGTCGATGTTCCCCGTGTCCCACTCCGTCCGCGCCTCCGACCCGCCGCCTACTACCAGTAATCCCAGGTATACCACCCCGGTGGCTATGAGTAGATACGACACGTTGATTACTAGCATCGACCAAATGCGAGCCCGCGGGAATCGGAATGACAGACGCGATGCCATGGTTTACTCTGCCTGAAGTGGGCTGTTAGACGCGTGGATAACAGATTCTAAAGGTAAATCGTTTTATAACGATAAAAATTGATGTTTCAAGAACTTTAGGCAGGAACAAACGGGGGAAGTGGATCAGGGATGTGTGGCTGGCAGAGCGTCAGATAAAAACTGCTAACTCAGCTGGCGAAGCTGTTGCAGATTGATATCAGGAATGTGGTCGTGAATGTTGCACCAGTAGTGGTGAGCCAGGCCGTGAGAGACTAATATAGCTGGCCAGGTATTAGTGAGCATTGATCAGGAACGTGTTCATGAATGATGAACGATGCACCAGTAATGGTGAGTGAAACGAAGCAGCTAAGAGAGTTTTATCCACGAGTGACGAGTCAAGTACACTACACTGGGTGGTGGGAGGAGGGGGGAGGAGCAGCCAGGTGCGGAGCGGAGAGAGCCGCGGTGAGTTTGGGGAGGAGGGACCAGCGAGGCAGGTGAGGCGGGTGATGTGGGTCAAGTGGGTGGGATGGCAGGTGCTGCGCACGCCTGACTCTCACTTTTGCCGCCGCTTCTGACTGGCCTTGGGTTTGGTTGGTTGCTCCGGTCCGCTCTGCTGTCGTCCTCGGGAGTGCCGCCACGCATGGCTCTCCGCCTTTGCGATGGCGCACGGCGCTGCTACAGCAGAGCGTTTGTCATGCTTTGCGCTCACGATAGTTTCAGGGGGACGGCGGCGCACTCCTATAATTGCGTGTCCAGTGCGCGAATGGGGATGCTTCCGTCCTTGCCTTGGCAGACCCACCAGGCGTTCAAACTCCCTTTCCCCCGCACCGCTGCTTTCCTTCCCTGCAGGAGCTTCCGCCTACGGAGCTGTCCTCCAACGCGGACCCATACCCGACGACGACCAGCAGAGACCACAGCAGTTTTGGGGGACTTCTTTGCCAGACTTCGGGGTCACCGTTGTTCTGAGCCAAACCAAATCAACGGAAGTGGGGTGCCCAGGCAAGTTTTAGGTTCGGTGGCTTATATGGGACGTGGTTGCATTTACCGAGGGAGTTTTGGCTGGGCAAGTTGGTATTGGCACACACGTTTGCAACATCTGATTGTACGCAGTTAGCGGGAGATCCTGAGTGTGCGGCCCAGCAGGGCACAGAGCTCAAAGTTCCCAAGGTGACGGAAAGTTCTGCACGGTGGAAAATCTGTCCCAGAATCGGCACATCTCGGTCGTTCGGTTCAATCGGGACTTCACGTCCAGCATACGCGACTCAAAGTGACTCCAAATTCATTAGTAACTAAAAGAAAAAGAATTAGCAACCAAAATCAGAAACAGCTGCCTTCTTCCAACTGTAAAAAGATGTGGTGTCAGCAAGTACCATCAAAATCCAGACCCATAATAACCTCCTGGAGGTGGTCCTGTACCCGGAGGCCCTGCATTTGGACCTTGCTGCCCCCCCCCATGACCAGGATAATAGCCTGCATTGGCTGCACCTGGGGCAGGTGGTTGCTGGTACCCATTTCCTTCATACGACTGGTACTGCCCAACCCCTGGAGCTCCTGGCCCAGCTGCCCCTGCACCTGCCGAAGGGTTGGTACCAGGGGGATACTGCTGCTGGTGGTGGTACTGCTGCTGCTGCTGCTGCTGCTGATAGTTGTAGCCAGGAGCAGCGCCCCCTACTGGTCCTGCACCAGGCGCCGAGAACCCACCAGCATGCGCCCCGGAATTGAGTGATGGCTGGTTCCATGCGTTGCCAGCAGAGGGACCACCAGCAGCAGCGTTGTAACCATAACCCGGGGTCTGGCTGTACTCGTTTGCTCCACCCTGCCCTTCGTAACCGTGCTGCCCTCCCTGCTGCTGCTGCTGCTGCTGCTGCTGCTGCTGCTGCTGCTGCCACCCCTGGGTGCCCGTCTGCTGTTGCCCATAGCCCTCATAACCGTACCCCCCGCCTCCCTGACCGACACCCTGACCTTGTGGCACCGCCTGTGCCTGCACCTGAGCCTGCACCTGCCCCTGAGGCTCACTCTGAGCTTGAGGCGGCGCCTGGTGCTGGGGCTGCTGGGGCTGGGGCTGCTGCGGTTGGGGCTGTTGCTGCTGGGGACGAGGCTGCTGGGGACGGGGCTGAAGCTGCGGCTGCAGCGGGGGTCGGGGCTGGGCGGGGGGGGGTTGGAACTGGTGGGGGTGCTGCTGGCTGAGCTTGAGGTACACCTGGGCGCGCTGCTGTGCCTGGCGGGAGGAGAGGCTCGACGCCAGCGCTGTGAACCGCCCCCGGATCTCCTCCATGCGCTGGTGGGGGGGGACGCGCAGAGAGGGGGAATTGTCAGGCAGAGAGAGGATGAGGAGGAATGCGCAGTCAAGAGAGGCAACTGGACCTGCAACTTCAGGGTCAAACACATGACACAACCTCAACCTACCAATTATATACCCCTCCACACAAGCCCTTCCCCCTCTCCGTTTCCAAACTTCCCATTTCTACCCACTACTTCCCCGTCTCCTCCCTGCAACCGCGCGCGCACCAGAGTGTGGCGGTCCGTCTCCTCCTTCTCCTCTCTGGCCTGCGCCTGCTGCAGCGCGCTCGTCTCCGCCGCCACCACCGCCTCTAGCTCTTCCACCGACGCTGGCAGCGCTCCCTGCGGTGGCAGCTGCAGCATCGGCATGCCTGGGGGGGGGCGGACGGGTGCACGGGCGGGGGCAGAAGTGGGAGCGCGCAGGGGATGAGCAGAGCAAAAAGGGAAGGGGAGGTCGTGGAAATTATAGAAGCGGATGGCTAGATTGACCAGAAATTAGTCCATCGGAGAATTGAGGTGTACAGAACACCACGCCTATTGTTAGAACTACCGGAGTGAGCATGGGCAAGGCCAAGCCATGTCCATGCACTCACCTTCACCACCCATACCACTCGGTTCTACCTGTCCCCCATACGCGCCCACCGCGCCCCCCGGCAGCATCGTTCCCATCGGTCCCATCGGCCCCATCGGCCCCATCTGGCCAATCGCGCTCATCCCCCCCATGGGCCCCATTGCGACCAGCGCCGCCCCATCCGCCGCCATTCCCGTTGCGCCCACCATCGCCCCTCCCGCCTGCCGCTGCGCCTCCAGCTGCGCCGCGATCAGCCTCAGCGTCGCGTCCTCCGCCTCCCCCCCTATCACCATCTCCGCCTCCCCCGCCGCTTCCGCGGATGCCGCCGCCCACATGCGCTGCTGCTGCTGCAGCTGCTGCTGCGCGGGGTCGTGCGCCAGCGCCGCAAGCGCCATCTGCACCGCCGCCGGCCCGCCCAGAATCCCGCCGCCCTTCCGCAAACTATCCAACTGAAGCTGGTCAATATACCCGCGCACCACGCTCTCCCCCGCTGCCAGCGTGTCGCGATCGGTAGCGGAGATCTTAACGATAAACGCGCCGTCGCCGACGGCGAGATCGTCTTCGAGTTGGATGCGGCAGTTGGTCTGCTTCTCCAGGCCCTGCACCACCATGCCCGCCGTGCCGATTATCCGCGACCGCATGCGCCGGTCCGCCACCCCGATGCTGATTGCGAACGGGTGCGCCGCGGACGGCGCATGGCGCTTTCCGCCGCCCCCCCACCCGCCTCCCTCCCCGCCAAACCCTCCACCTCCGCCCCCGCCGAGGGTGGTGGGGCAACCCTGAAGGAAGAGTCGGGAAAGAGATCCGATGGGAGTGAATCAGGGAGTTGCGGTGAACGGAGGGAAAGTTAGGGTTTTGAACGAGGCGCGGATGCTATCAGTGCGCTACGCCTCAGTCTAATCGGCACGACGACTCGCCAGGGCCTGCGGCGGCAGCGATAATAGCGATGTATGACGACGTTTAACGACGCTTCCGACAGCCTTGGTCAGTGAATACCCTTCTTCTTATTTAACCTAGCGTTTAAAATGCCAAGATCCCCATCAATGTCGGCCCGCGGCGCTTCGACTTTCCGCAAACTCCCCCCTCCCCCTCTATTCCCCTAATTCCCTGCGCAGCTCCGCCTCAGCGCACCTGAGTGGGGTGCCCCGCCTCTCCGCAGATCTTGCACGTGAGGTCGTCTTCGCGCCGCTTCTTCCAGTTGCGCTCCGCCGCCTTCGCCTTCGCCTCCCACGCCTTGCTGTACTTCCCGCCGAAATCTGTCGGTACGTCCGTCCCCGCATCCTCGCGCTGCCTGCCGACCTCCGCGTCGTCCCCGCCCTTCCGCTTCTCCGCCTTGACCGCCGCGTGCGCCTGCACGGGCGCTGTGTAGCCCTTGGCGTAGACGCTCTTGAAAAACTCGTCGTCGTCGCCCTCGCCACCCTGCACACCGGCCATCGCGCCGATTTAGCTGGCCTAGCGGGTGCCGAGTAGCAACAGTGGTGGAAACAGGAAACTTTGAAACGGGTAAGTGATTGAACCCGCCTTTTGAACGCGTGATGTATGGTATGTTTTACGGTGAAAACTGTTATTTGTGCGGTTCAAAGTGGTTGCGAGAAAACGACTCCAATTGCAGAGGATCATGCTCAACCAATGAAGTGTACCTGCGAAAATGAACCGTCAATTCAGACGATATTCGATATACAATTGCCTCGATATGCATACGAACCCAGAAGTTCCAGAAGCCAAACATGCATTTCACGGTTCCTTTTCGATCACTCTCCAACCCATCTGATCTACACTAGGAATTCACTGCTGGATTTGCTGCCGAGTTTAGTGTTGCGACACCTTCGTGAGCCTTCACAGGACCCACCTGAGAGATATTCCGACAGATTCCGTTTCCGCAATCCACTTCGCCGTCTGATTCGTGTGCGCTCCCGTCAAGAAGGGAGGTTCCTCGTGAGCGATCCCGATGGGGCGGCAGAAGGGCGGCGATGCGGCGCGATCCAAGAATCGACCAGCCAGCAGCAGGTGCGCCGCAACCTCAGCTAGTGCGGGTTGCGTTAGGAACCAAGAAGGCTGTGCGCGCGTGATTTCACTTCAGGAAGGGCCATGGACGATGGCCCGAAACGCGCGTAGTGAATCGAGATGGTTGCCACGTGTTCCGATGTCTCTGCGGCTTGTCAGGCCCCAGTATGGGCGTTTGAGATCAGGAAGCTTCGGCCGGCGTGGTTGCGTGTTTGCTCGGTGTGATTCCGTGCAGCTTGGATTCGCACGGTGATCGTCGTATTTCATACCGCGTCGCGGATCTCCGATTCTCATTCCGGGGCAAGCAGAACGGAACGCCTGAAACGACGACGCCATCCGCCCTTCTCCCCCCTCCCTCTCTCCTCCCCCCTCCTGCCCCCTTTTTCACACACTTCTCTCCCCGCTGCCCTTTCACCCCACCGTCCCGTCCGCTGCCCATTCACACGCCGGCGGCGACCCTCCCAGCGCCCTCCTCATCCCATCCTAGGCGCCGCTGCTGCTTCCGCAATTCCCCCATACCCCCTCCCCCTCCCCATTCACCATCCCCTCTCCCCCAACCCCCGTCCCCCCTCTTCCCCCATATCTTCCGCAGCCTGGCCGCCTCGCTGCTGGCAGCGGGCGCAGGCAGTGCGGCAGGCGGAGCTGGAAGCGGGCCCCGCCCAGTCGGGTTCGGGGGATACGTGGGCAGTGCGCGGGTGCAGACAGCAGCCGCGGGGGCGGCTGGAGGGGGGAGGGAGAGCGCGGAGGGCGGGGCAGACGGAGGGCGGGAGGGGCAAAGGGGGGCAGTGGAGGCTTCTGCAGGCAGCGGGCCTAAGGAGCTGGTCATTGGGGCGGTGAGCGCTGGAGGGGGGGAGGGGGGAAACAGGGAGAAGAGGGGTTGTGCAGTGTTGCATGCACAACTTTCATGCGCCACAAGCCTGTAAACCTCTTTGCCGTTTCCCGTTCACCACTCCCCCCCACCACTCATTACCCCTCGCCACCCCGCCCCTCTACTGTGCGGTGATGAGCAGGACGTGGGCGGCGAGGCAGCGGCGCATCTGAGGCGGCTGGCGAAGAAAGACGCCACCACCAAGGTGAGTGGTAGCAGCATGGGGAGCGGCAGGAACAACGGGAGCAGCAGGAGCAAGGCGAGCGTTGCAGACAGACAACAGGCGCTTGGGGTGGAAGCAGGCGGGTGGGCTGTGATAGTGATAGTGCCTGGTTGGGTTTGCGAGTGCACGCAGTGGTGCCATCATGCATGCACCAACATGCAGAGGAGAGTGGCTGTTCACACGCACTTCCATGTGCACTCGTGATGGGCCTTTCCCTTGCAGTTCTTCCCACAATTCTGCCGCCTCTGCTCTTCTCCAGCCCACCAACACCACTCTTCTTTTTCACACCTCTCCTCCCATCCGCTCCCCCCACTCTGTACCACGTCCCTCCACGTCCCTCGGTGACCCCTCACCCTCAGCTGAAGGCGGTGGAGGCGCTTCAGGGGGTGCTGGGCGGCAGCACTGCCGCCCAGATGCAAGCCATGCTGCCTGCTTGGGTGAGAAATGATACAGCGCCATGCCATGCCATGCCATGCCATGCCATGCCATGCCATGCCATGCTGTCTCATGCCATCCGATGCCATGTGGTGTGGTGTTGTGCCATGCCATTCCATGCCATGTGCCGGCACTGGTGAAATGCGATTCAGCTTGCCACTCAGCATGCATACTGCTCTTCCCTCACTGTTACTGCCTTCCTCCTCCTTCACCTTTCCCCTCCTCTTCCCGTCTCTTTGTTTCTCTTCCCGCGCCGTCGTCCCACATGGCACGCACCACCAGGCGTTTGAGTACCGGCGGCTGGTGGTGGACAGCAGCAGGGCTGTGCGCCTCGCCACACACGCCACCATGACCGTGCTCGTCCAGGGCGTGGGGTGAGTCCATGCTCGTCCAGGGCGTGGGGTGAGTTCTCGAGTCTTACACCTGGGCGTAGGGCGAGTCAATGCTTGTCAACGGCGTACGGTGAGTCAACGCTCGTGAAGGAATGGGGTGGGTAAGTCAACGGTCGTCAAGGCGTGGGGGTGGATGAGTCAACGCGAGTCAAGGGCGTAGGGTGAGTTGGTGTGGCAGACAGTAGTTTGGAATGTCAATATGATTAAGTTTGATGCGTCACATGCACCATGTCTCACTCCCTCATGACGTCACTGCTGCCCCTTTTCTCTCCTTCCAGATTAATTTTCAGTCGCTCAAACGTCATCCTTGCCTTTTCCTCTCTCGTTCCCATGGCAGCAAGGGCCTGGCGCCACACCTGAAGCAGTTGATGGGGCCGTGGTGGGTGGCGCAGTTTGACTCCTCCCGTGACGTCGCTGCTGCCGCTACCGTCTCCTTCCAGGTGCGTCACATGGCTTTCCAGCTCTTGTCTCCTCCTGCTTCCCATCCTTCTGCCCACCCTGCTTCCCATCCTGCTGCCCACCCTGCTTCCCATCCTTCTGCCCACCCTGCTTCCCATCCTTCTGCCCACCCTGCTTCCCATCCTGCTGCCCACCCTGCTTCCCAACCTTCTGCCCACCCTGCTTCCCATCCTTCTGCCCACCCTGCTTCCCATCCTGCTGCCCACCCTGCTTCCCATCCTTCTGCCCACCCTGCTTCCCATCCTGCTGCCCACCCTGCTTCCCATCCTTCTGCCCACCCTGCTTCCCAACCTTCTGCCCACCCTGCTTCCCATCCTTCTGCCCACCCTGCTTCCCATCCTTCTGCCCACCCTGCTTCCCATCCTTCTGCCCACCCTGCTTCCCATCCTTTTGCCCACCCTGCTGCCCACTCTGCTACCATCCCAGTGCAGCTGCTGTGCGCCTCTCATCCATTCCCCACTTTTCTACTCCTTCTCTACGTCTTCCTCCCAGGCGGCCTTCCCCACGCCCACACGGCGAGTGGAGGCGCTGGCATTCACGTGGGAGGCGGTGGTGGGCACCCTGGCGGAGCTGCTAGCAGCCACCCCGCAGTCGCTGGCGGCTGCTGACCGCTCGCTCAGCGTGGAGGAGGCCAAGCACCGCCTGGACGAGGTGAGACCGTGAGTTGCGGATGAGGCTTAGGGTGTAGGGCGCAGAATGAGGGTGGGACGTGGGAGAGGTTGGAGTGTAAGTGGGGTGCGGAGAAGGGTGGAAGAGAGGAGCCGGGAGGAGAGGCTAGCAATGCCTGTTGTGAGGTGCAAACCTTCCTCTCATTCATCTTACCCTTGATTATCCCACCACCCATCTATCCCATGTACCCATCCCCCTCCGAATTCCTCCACCTCCTCCCATCCACGCCTGCCCCCATTCTCCGCCCACCCCCCTGCGTGCAGCTGCTGTGCGCAGCTCTGCTGGCGCTGAGGGCTTTCCTGCAGACCGTGCTGCCACCACGACCACACAGAGGGGCTGCTGCTGGCGCTGCCACCGCAGGGGGGACAGCTCCGGCAGCAGAAGCAGCTACATCAGCAGCGGAGACAGCAGCAGCGGGATCAGCAGGAGCAGCAGCAGAGACAGCGCTGCCCCCCTCTGTGGTGGCAGCCCAGCCACGCATGGCAGCGTCCCTGCTCTCCTCCCTGCGCGCCCTCTCCTTCCTCCGCGCCCTCGCCAAACACCCCTCCCCCCGCGTGCACTCCGCGGCCTTCCACGCGCTGCCAGCTGTCCTGCTCTCATTGGGCCCGCTGGCAGCAGAAGCGAGGGGGCAGGAACAGGAGGGAGAGGGGGCGGGCAGCCAGGGGGGAGAGAATCAAGTGGGGGGGGGAGCGGGAGGAGGAGTCGGAGGAGAGATGGCAAAGAGGGGAGAAATGGAGGTGATGGGGGAAGCGGAGGTGATAGAGAAGGTGGGGCCAGTGGTGGCAGCAGCCATGGGGGAGAAGGTATCCGCATGCCATGGCGCCATGTGGGAGCTTGTGCTTGTGGCCTCGTGCACCTGCCCCTCCCTCTGGGCCAACCCTTCCTTTCTTAAATCTGCTCTGCCGAAGCTCTGGGGTTTTCTCCGAGCCGGGTGCTTAGGCTCGGCAGAGCAGTCGTACCCGTGCCTGCTGCCGCTGCTTTCGGTGTTCTTCCGAGCCAGGCTGCACCAATCACAAGGCGTGCTGGTGCCGTTCTTCTCGAACCTGTGGCAGGGACGGCTTGTCCACATGGCGCGACCTGATTGGCTGGCGCTGCTGACGTGTGTGAGGGAGTGTCTTGTGCTGAGCGTGGTGCAGTTGAGGCGAGATGAGGAAAAGGCAGAAGGGAAGGAGCAGGAGGACAGAGGAGTGGCCTGAGGCGAGGAGTACGTGAAGTCGAAGCGCTGAAGGACCTGCTGCACCATGTGTGACTGAGTCAAGGTAATGGTGCGCCGTGCTCTGTCCCGGGTGATCTGCAAGCCAAGATAGCTGCGCAGTTCACCCAGGTCTGTGCACGTGTGTCTCTTCTGTAGCTCGGACTTCACGTGGGCGAGTCCAGCAGTGTCAGCAGTAGCAAAGACCAAGTCGTCGACGTACACGAAGATGTAGAACGGCGGCAGCAAAGTGTCGGTGCGCAGAAACAGCGACGGGTCAGCAGTAGAAGGAGCAAACCCAAGAGCCGCAAGCGTAGTCCTCAGTGTGTCGTGCCACTCACGGGGCGCCTGGCGGAGACCGTAGACTGGCCGCCGGAGGCTCCACTGGGTACCAGGAGGAAACGACCCAGTGAAGCCAGGTGGGCGGCGCAGCCAGATCTCCTCGTGCAGGCTGCCCTGTAGGAAAGCAGTGCTGAAGTCAAGAGAGTGAAGCTCGTAGTCACGCTGAGCAGCGACGTGCAGCAGAACCCGAAGAGTGGTCATCTTCGGGGTCGGGGAGAAGGTCTGAAAGTAGTCAAATCCCTGCCGCTGACTGAAGTCTCGAGCCACGGAACGCGCCTTGAAGACAGGCGGAGAACCCGGCGGCCGCTTCACCCTGAAAATCCACATGCCACTGACAATGTTCACCCCAGGTGGGGGAACCTCGTCGACGTAGGTGCCTGTGGACTTCCAGGAAGCCATCTCTGCGTCCATGGCTGACTGCCACTGAGAGGAGTAGGGACCCTCTATCGCCTCTGCGTAAGAGCGCGGGGTCGGGATGTCTGGTGCATCCGGGTCTCCCTCAGGGGCAAGCAGCATGGACACGAGATGAGGTAAAGCAGCAGCAAAACACTGGAACTCCTCCTGCCTGTCCTCAAGGACGTCCGTGCTAAGAGCACACTCACCCCCGACGGACGGAGGACAGACAGAGGCAGACTGAGACCCAGTAACAAGACTAGCGGCGTAGTCTAGACGACAGTGAGCAGAGAAGTCGACAAGCTCGGCAACTAAGGCAGACGCAGCAGTGGACTCAAAGGAAGGGTCAGTGACAACAGTGGCCAGGAGACGCGTGATAGTAGGACTGGCAGCACGAAAGGAGTCAGACTCCGGGTCAGCAAGAGCAGGAAGAGAGGACTCTGGAGGAGATGGCAAAAAGACACGCTGCGGAGCAGTGGAAGGACGCAGTGCCATCTGGTGCGTGCCCGGGACCGCAGGAGGACGCTGACGTGGAACACGACGACCAGTGCGAGCAGCACGAACAGGTGACGCAGGACGCGACTCAGGCTCACGACGCTCAGCAAGACCTCCAGTAGGACCAGCGTAGGGAGAAGGAGCAGGCAGTGGGGAGGCCAGCTGTAATTGTGACTCGGACTGGACAGGCGGTGGACACTCTAAGGAAGGAGCAGGACCAGAAGAAGGCGGAAGACCAAGAACCTGCTCAAGGAGCGGAACGAAGTACGGCCGCGGCCGCGCAGCGCCTCCAGAACCAGCAGGGACAGCACCAGCACCCCCAGCGTCAGTTCCAACTCCAGCAGCACCACCACCACTAGCAGCACCTCCAGCAGCTCCAGTAGCGCCAACTCCAGCACCCACAGGAGCACCGGCTCCAGCAACACCTCCAGCTCCAGTACCATCAGCAGCTCCAGCTCCAGCAGGACCACCGGAAGACGCAGCAGCTCCAGCTCCAGTACCCCCAGTAGCACCTACTCCAGCAGCACCGCCAGCTCCAGCTCCGCCAACAGCTCCAGCACCAGTAGCACCACCAAGCCCAGCAGCTCCAGTACCTCCAGGACGAGCACCTCCGGGACCCGTGGCTCCAGCACCCCCAGCAGCAGTAGAAACTCCAACACCGGCAGCACCACCAGCTCCAGCAGCACGGCTCCAGCGCCGAGCAAACCACTCGCGCAGCTCCTGTGGAGAGGGTAGCTCCCGCCGGGACAAAGCACCCGAAGGACCTCCAGGCCTAGCACCGTCAGGTTCCGCACCCCCACACTCAGCAACCCCAGGCTCAGCACCCCCAGACCCAGCACCCCCAGGCTCCGCACGCTCAGGCTCAGCACCCCCAGATCCAGCACCCCCAGGCTCCACACGCCCAGGCTTAGCACCCCCAGCAGCACCAGAGTTAACAGCTACCTCGACAGGCTCGACTGCGTCTACCTGGGACACACCTGAGGGGGCAGGACCCTGAGGGGGGAGGGGGTCTACCGGAGGGGGACCAGGCGCAAGGAAGAGCGGCGGGGGGGGGAGGGGGGCAGCGCGGTAGGGGAAGAGATGGTAGTACGGAACCGACTCGTCAAACGTGACGTCCTGGGAGGACAGAACACGGCGCGAGGTGGGGTGGTAAAACTGCCAACCAGGAGCGTCAGGGGGGAAGCCAAGGAAGATGCAAGGAACAGCACGGGAGGACAGCTTGTCCGCAGACAAGTCACGGTCGAAAGCTCGAGATCCCCAGACACGGAACGCAGACGCATCGCCAACCTTCCCCGTCCACCGCAGAGTAGGGAAGGTCTCCGGCATCGAGACCCGGGGCTGAAGGTTGATCTGATGCGCCGCGTACTGAACCGCGAACGGCCACAGAAAATGGGGAGCAGCCGCATGGATCATGGACGTACAAGCGACGTCCATGACCATGCCAATGCGGCGCTCAGCAGTCCCATTTTGCTGTGGAGAGGCTGGAAGCGTGAACGTCTGGCGGATGCCCTCCGCACGACAGAAGGCTCGCAGAAGGTCGGAGGAAAACTCTCCACCTCTGTCGGAGTGCAGACGCAGAACAGGAAAGTCCGAGCCGAAACTCTCTCTGAGCTGGAGACGGACAGCGCGGATCCAGTCGATCAACACCTCAGTGACCTCACCCTTGCGGCGCAAGGGGAAGACTGTGGTGTAACGCGAGTAGTCGTCAACCACCAGCAGGAAGTAACGCTCGTGACCCTGTCCACGAACGCGGGCTGGGCCCCACACGTCCATGTGGAGAGTCTGCAGCGGAGCCTCTGTCGGAGGAAACTCGGAGGAGTGAGGAGCGGCGCGCTGCCGCCCCTCGACGCAGGGAACGCAGGTAGGGGCAGGCCCCGGGGGAAGGGGAGGGAAGGACCGGGGGAGACCAGAGACAAGGACACGGGAGGCCATGCCTCGGAGACGAGGCGGGGAGGGGTGACCAAGGCGGTGGTGCCAGAGGAGAGTCTGGTGAGACAGGAGACGACACGAGCAGGGGGCAGACTCAGGACCAGACCTGGACGCTGCAGCAAACACCTGAACCGACGCAGCTACCTGGCCAGACGCTGGAACCGGAGGAGACTCGGTAGTCTGTGTGTACAGGCTCGACCCCGGCTGACGGGTAAACGTGGCCAAGTGTCGGCCCGTCCGAGCACACGTGCAGTGGGTCACTCGCTGACTCGCAGGAGTGAACTGGTCAACCCTCCCATCGTGTAGGTCAGCACCACTCACCAAGTTCGTAGAGAACGAGGGAAGGTAAAGACCCGACAGGGAGCCAGAAGGGGCCGCCGGACACGGTAGGACAGTGGAGTAGTGGGCAAGGACAGGACCCCCAGAGGGGTCTGCCAGGGAGACTGCAACCGGCCGACTGAGCGGCGTGAGTGTGGTGCGGTCTCGAAAGAAGGAGCGGGAAGCACCCAAGTCGAGGGTGAAGGTGTGCAAAATCTGAGTCGACGTGGTACCTGAGAGAGCAGACTCACCAGCACCTGAAGCAGCAGACTCACAAGCACCTAGAGCAGCGGCCTCAATGCCCGGGTCAGGCGGAACACACAGGTAACAGTCACCCTCAGCACTAGTAGACACAACATACATGGCAGCAAGAATAGCATCATAGTCAAGATCAAAGATAGCTACACCAGACTTGAGCAGATCACCCCAGCGAGGGATCTCAGTGGCGTGAGGGAACTGGATACGCCAGGCGTTCGTCAGGCGGCCAAAGCAGCGCAGGGTGGCGTGCGGCCCGCCGCACGGCTCCCCAGTGCGGTCGCCTGTACGCAGGACGTAGGTACAGGGACCAACACCCCCAGGCCGCTGGCGAGTAGCGTACCACTCACGAAGCTGCTGGGGCGACGGAGTCTCGCGAGAGCGCTGCTGCTGCTGGCGCTGACCACCACCAAAGTCTCCCCGCTGCACAGCTCCACCCCGACCAGCTCCACCTCCGCCGCCGCCACCGCCGCCGCCTCCACCCCCACCGCCGCCGCCGCCGCCGCCGCCTCCACCTCCACCGCCGCCACCGAAGCCCCCACCCCCGCCACCACTCCCACCCCCACCCCCTCCGCCGCCTCCACTGCCACCACCGCCGCCCCCGCCAGCTCCTCCAGCGCCCTTGCCCCCCTTGCCCTTGCCATTGCGGCGCCTCCCACTAGGATCAGACGCAGCGCCGACCGACTCGGTGCCAACGAGGTCGACAGCAGCAGCAGAGGCAACAGAGGGCAAAAGGGGGACGGGGGAGCACCCCTCAAAGAAAGGGGCACGAGGGTCACCACGAGAGGCTCCTACAGCGACTATGCTCTTCTCAGCTGCAACGAGGCGCTCTTCGAGGAGGTCAACGGTGAGTGTGGTGGGGCAAACAGAGAGGAAGTGGTCCCTGACCGAGCGAAGGGAGTCAGGGAGCCGGGTGACTAGGTAGTAGAGGGTGATGTACACGGGGGGGGGAGGGGGGGTTCTTGGCGCAGAACTCAGCAGGAAGCGCAGCGCGGTAGCGGGTGTCACTAGTGCAGAGGTGTGTAATAAGGTCAGCGACTGTGGCAAATGCGGCGAGGTTAGGGGACAGGTACGGCAGCATGAGGCGACTCAGGGCAGCAGTGGCAGGGGAGGAGTAGCGTGCAACTACAGCGTCGTACAGAGTCTTAGCACTCTTGTACTGACTAAAGTGCGCGCGCTCAGTGGACGGTAGGTGACTACGCACAGCAAGGCGGGCAGCAGCATCGCGCGTGGTCCACTGCGAGCGAACAGTACTGTCAGCATCAGTAGCAGGGGCAGTAGAGGCGCCAGACGTGAGATCGAACAGTGAGAGGCCATCCTTGCTATCGCACTGTGGGAAAAGCTGCAGATCATCTACCCAGACCTCAAAGTCGACCGCTCGACCCTCAGCATCAAATGTGAGTACATTAGGATTTGCCATAGCAGCAGGAGCAGCAGCAGTGGCCTAGCTACAGCAGCAGTAGTAGCAGCACGACTCGGCAGGGCGGGGCGGTTCGGCAGGGCGGCTCGGCTAGGCAGGGCGGCGCGGGTGCAGCAGCACGCGGGTGCGGCGGTGCACTTACCAGTGGCGGAAGAGGTGGGCCGCTACTGGTGGGGCTGGGCCGGGGCGCGTCAGCAGAGCAGGGGGGGGGGGGCGGGCGCAGGCGCAAGGAAGGGGGGGGGGGAGGGGGTGCGCGGCGAGGCGGCAGGTAAGAACCGGGACAGGCGCTTCGGCAGGGCGGCTGCAGGCTCGGCAGCGGCAGCAGGGCCGCTACGGTGGCAGCTGCTGCTGCAGTAGGGACGGCGACGCCAGCTGCTGCAGGGACAACGACGACGGGGCGGCAGGGCCGCCACGGCGACAGCAGGGGCGACGGCAGCTGCTGCAGGGGTGGCGACGACGGGGCGGCTTAGAGCCGCTGCGGGCAGGGGCGATGCCGCGCGGGTCCCGCAGGGGCGTCGCGACGAGGCAGGGGCGACACCCGGGTGGCGACGGGGCGGGGCCGTGACCGGCGACGGGACGGGGCCGCTACTGGCGACGGGGCGGGGCCGCGAAGGGGCCGGGAAGGGGCCGCTGAGGGGCCGCGAAGGGGCCGCTAAGGGGCCGCGAAGGGGCCGCTAAGGGGCCGCGAAGGGGCCGCGAAAGTGTAGGGCAGGGCAGAGCGCGAAGCGCGCTTTGGGCAGGTTAGGAAAAAAAAGTTTAAAGTGGTGGGCCCTTGGGAAGAAACGGTCCCACTAGGGAACCCGCTCTATACCATGTGAAAGAGAAGGGAATGAATGAACTAGGAAAGTGTGTGATACAAATATGAAACCTGTACCCCTTAGTGTCTACCCCACTACAACCTACATAGGCTAGGTCATATATATCTGACAACATCCACAGGAGCTGCCGTGTGATAGGCGTCAGCCACAAGCGGGAGCAGTGAGGTCGATGCCAACGCGCGGTCAATGTGTGAACTCGTCATCGTTGCCTTTGCCAGGAAGGTAAATTCCAGCCGCGAGGGGTATAACGTTCGGAAAGCGTCCTTCATGTCCCATTTTTAGCAGCCTTTTTTCCCCCGCATCAGATCATTGCTGTGATGTTTTATCCATGATAGGATCTGCAGCGATGTTCAGATCTCCTGTAAGAAGCACATGTCCCGCTTGAGTTATTGAGTCCACAAACGGGGTCAAACTGTCTCTATAGAAACTCCCTCTAGTTGTTGCCTGTGCAGGGAGGTACACTGCTAAGAACGTTCATGCCAGCTTCCTCCAGCCAACTGTCACTGCTATCAGTCTTCCCGATCCATGCTGCTGAACGTCGCTAAAAACTACCTCGTCATTGAAACTCAGCATCGCTACTCCTCCTGCTGTGTCCCCTGGAGCAACTATCGTCGCTGCACCAGCCTCGACTTGAGTCCAGAAGTTGTGGTCCGCCGGTAACTTGGTATCAGTGAGTACAATCACTCCTTTAGATTTCTTGAGCCAGTCATGTAAATTCTCCCTCTTCTCCGCGCTCCCTAGTCCGTTCACATTGAGCGCGGTGATAATGAGTTCTTGGTGTTTATTCATTAAACCACTAATGAGGACCCCTTCGCATCCACGGGTCGGAAAGCTCTGTTGTCGTAAGAAGGTTGCAGCTATCCAGCGCTAAAGTCACACGCATCCACCGGTCCATAAATCTTGTTATAAGGGTGATTCCACACAGCACAGCAGTTGCTACAGAGACGCTAACCACAGCTCCGCATACTACCACTTCATGGTACTTCTGAAACATCCCTTCCAGCTTGTGCTCCCACTCTATTAACATCTCCCCCACTCCCTGGCAGGTCACTTAGGAATTCTTTCTAGAGGGAAGCGACGTTGATCGCACCCTTGCTGATGCCTGTGGCCGCACCCGCCGTGGTCAGATTGGTGGTGTGGCGAACGGGGGCGACATGCGCCGCTGCAAGCTCGAGGTTGTTGCCATGTGCCTTGCCACATGCATCGAGGATGCAGATCCAGTCCTCTCGAGATCCGCCGGTCGAGGTAAGAACAAGAGCCGGGTCTAGCAGAATGGCTTTCAGTGAGTCTGTGACTTTCAGTGAGGCCGCTGCGGGGAGGAGAAGAGAGAGTAAGGTTAGTATCATGGTAAGAGAAAAAGGCTAGACACTCCGTGCAAGGCTGATCTAAGTTATGCTTGTACAGTTTCCAGTGCTTGATGGCATTCAAGGTGGCGCTCCCTGACCAGTTCAGAGCTTTCAAAGAAGCGGGCAGTCACAAGAACTTTGAAGTTATGACAGTTCATCATTATATGATAAATTCTGCCAGTAACAATTGCCAATTGGGTTATGTACCCAAGTGATAGAAGAGTGATGCGATATGATCATCTCAAACATTTTGTGACTGCCCATATAGATTGCCCTACGGGTGGTGTGGGGATGGCGCGGGGAGAGCATATAAAGGGGGAGGGGGATCGATGGGGAGGGGAGGGAGATGGAAGGCGGAAATCCCAGAGAAACACAAAGGATCAAAGCGCAGCAACGAAGTGGAAGAAGTGCGATGGAGGCGCGACTTGCGAGTCGTCAGGGATGGCAAGCATCACATTGGCAGTTGCTTGCATTGCATTCTTCTTGCCACAGCTGCATTCTTTATACCTTTGTGATGCTATGCAACCCTCCCCCATCCCTCCCCACCCCACTAATCACTCCTTGTCGAGCGAATTACCAAGCCACGTCAAGCGTGCCCATTTGGTGAAGATCTTGAAATTTGAACTCAGCATTGTACAGCGCCCATTCGTCTCACCCTCTTCCACTACGTTGTCGTTGTGCTGGTCCGCCTTCTCGTAGCTTTGGCCGCTTCCTCCATAACCGATTCCACCGTTGGGCGCTGTGGCATTCAAATACATTTCCTTACAGGGCAGCTGAGTAACTGACATGGCCACCATAGATCGGCGGTCTCCGATCAGGTCCCATCGCAAATCGGCGTCCACTGACTCGTTCCTCTCCGACTCGCTCTCCCGCTTTATCAAAACCCTCCCCAGCGTTTCCATTCCACCTCTCCACTCCCCGCGGAACACGCTCTCCCCCATGTCGCCACCCACTAGCACTCCTTCAGCCATGAAATCCAGCTGCCGTTCCCTTGAAATGATTCCGTGCGACGCTGCTTCAAGTAACGAAACCGCGTCGCCTCGCGACCTCCCTAGTAGGCGCCTCGCGATGCGGCTCCTGGTGGGTGACAGAGGCGGGGTGGTGGACGCGGCGACGCCGAGAGTCCGCACGCCGGAAAAAGGTGCGTCGCAACGAACCAGCGGTACCCGCGACATGCGCAGCCGTGAATCCAAGAGCCGTGATAACTGGTCGAGAGAGTTTCCTCTCCAAGCGGCAGATGCGGGTCGCGAAGGGCTGCAGAGCCGTAAGCAGGGTGGCGCAAAGGCGATGATCCGCAGCATTAGCGACCGCGTGGCACGCGACTCGGTGGGTCCGAACGCGACAATCCCAACCTCTCCCGCTTCCTCTACGTCCTCCGCTTCCTCTGCTTCCTCTCCTAAAGCGATCCAGGGGAACGCATCGTCCCGAGGCCGACACCCGTCGCGCGTCGCGGCGTCGGATCCGTTGGAACGCACTCTCCCCCGCAAATTCCGTTTGAACGACGACGACACGGCGACGACGGTCCGAAGTGAAGCGACGGACGGCGAGGAGGATTCAGACGCTGGGTCGGTGTCGATGCGACAGCTGCGACGCGAGATTGACGATCTGAGGACGCAGCTGGAGCGATGCGTGCGAATCAACAAATTGCTCTCCGGTGAGTCTGGATCATGGGGCTCGAGACGCATTTTGGACGACTCAAACTCAGCGTTTTCAGTAAAGTCGATTATTGTGCAATCCTCTTGGGGTGATTTCGAACTCTTCGTTACTCGTGTCGTTTCTGTCATTGTGCAATCCGTTTTTCTCTGTGCAGAATCTTTGCGCTCAGCGGAGCGCACAGCGAATGAAGCCACAGCAGCCGCCCGCGTGTTAGCGTCGGAACGCGACGACGTGGTGAAAGAGCTGGAAGAGGTGCTGAAAGCGTGGTCCCAAGCCGATGACGTGGCAGTGGCGAAGCAAAAGGAGGAACGCGCGACAGCGCAAAGGACCCGAGTGTCGCTGGAGTGGGCGCGAGCAGTGTTGGCACAAGAAAGGGAGGCTGTGGGGAGGGAGAGGGAGGAGCTGAAGCAGGAGAGGGAAGCGCTGCAGAAAGATAAGGAGAGGATCACCAAGGACGCAGCGAAACGGGCGGCGCAAGAGGTGCAGGGCGAGCGGAGCAAGCTGCAGCAGCAAGCAGGGATGATGGGCATGCAGCAGCAGCAGCACCATGTGACTCCCGAAGGTGTGCTTGTACGGAGCGTCAGCATGAACAGCACTTGCAATTGCCTCAACAGTACGCAAAGCAGTGCCGATACGAGGTCCAACAACGAGGCGGCAACAGACCAGCAGGCAAGCAAGCAGGGGGGAAGCAGGAGCAGCAGCAACATCAAGGTCGGTGCATCTGCTTCACGCATGATCCCCTCCTGTCGGTCGGAGAGTGACCTCAGTGCGTGTGCTTCCAGGGCACAGGAGCACGCGCCGACTGGGCTTCTGCACTCTGCGAGCGTAGTTGAATATGGCCCATCATCTCCAAAGAAAGTCACTTCGCCGAAAGAGCGCGTGGGTCGCACGGCAGTGGCTCCTCCCCAAACTAGTGCTCTTTCCCCCCCATCTAGAAGCCCTCGCAGTACCAGTACAGCTGGTTACAGCAGCAGCAGCAGTCTTGGTAGCGTTGGGAGTTACTCTTCTGTTTTGGACTATGGTGCAAAACCACCCATGTTTCCTGGATTGCTGCAAGACCCGAGGATGTCAGGGAGGCGTATGAAGTTCTCACTCATCGAATAATGCCGCATATATGCTGGCGCGTGGCTGTGCGCTCTTCATGTGTGAGGCCCCTGTGGTCTCCCTAGTGAAGTGGACCAAAGCGAGTCTCCTCTTTCTGGTATGCCATGTTCGAGCAGTTATGTGATGCATTCGAAGGGTCCGTGCAAGATTTGCACATCTGAATTGCACGTTACAGTTCCATTCTGTAAACAAGTACTGTATCAACAGATGGACTGCTCAACTACAGAAGGGACGTTTTTTTTCATGTACGGTATCTGCTGTTGGGCTTTGGTAGGTGTGTGCGTAGGAGTGCAAGGTGCAGCTGGGTGGGAGCTCTATCCCAGCCATCAGATCAGGGAGAAGGCACATTAGGTTACAGGAAAGGCTGGGTGTTCAGGAACATGAACCCTGGATGTCAGGGTATGGATTAGCCAAACAGCATGTGAACATTGCACAAAAGTTTACTATTTGCTAGTTGCATTGATGAATTCTTCTGCTAAATAGCATGAGCAAAGTACACTGCAGATTTCCAGGAATCTGTCATCATTCTGTCGCTTTCGAGGTGAGCCAGCCTGACAATACCGTAGGAGGTTTCCCGCCATTCGTCACAGGTTTTTGCGCATGCTAGCCCAGCTCACCCAACAATTTCTCTCAGCCAGAATTGCATGCTTTGCTCATGTCAGGCCTAGGGCCTTGTTCTGCAGGCGCATCAGCCCGGATGGCTGCAGTAAACCAGGGCTCCTCGATCCTTCTTCGACAACCTGTCACAGGTTATCAAGGCTCATAATAAGCGCATGGCTGCCGAAGCAAAACAAAACCGAATGCCTGCAGAACAGCGTTTCTGCTTACGAAATTTGTAATGTTGCAACGTTCCGTGAAGTTTCCTGTCCTAGCAAAGTGGTGCATCACTGATGCGCGCATCATGCAACTGCGTAAGGTCGCATCATCCGCGCATCAGCTGACGCGCTGCACTTTCATTGGCCTATCAGTTTGGCACGTAAAAAATACCGCGTCATCCGAGCTCCCAGAAACCTGTAAAAATTTTACTGTTGGGATTCAATGTCAGGAAATTGGAGATTGAAATGTCAGGAGGACGAATTTCCAACCCGAACCTCAATGTCCGCGTCAGGCCGAGCCTCTGGCGGTTCAGGCTGATGCGCCTGCAGAACACGGCCCTAGTTTCGTTGTTTCCAGGAATGCGTGCGAGTTTTTTTAGCCGATTTCGTTCATGCTCAAAGGATTGAGAGCTGCCCTGTGGAGTATCGCTATCTAGGTTGGGCTCATGGCAGCATATGTCCGCGAACGATGGAAGTCGCCTGCCGTTCCCCATGCGTTGGCCTGTCGCGCCGAGCCATTCACGGAGGCAGCATGCGACCTGAGCCTTGAGGTACAGAAAGAGCATGATACATGTATCGCAGCATGATGTCCGTTCGTACTCCTTTCGTCCCTGATGCGTGACGTGGCTTCTCATTGAAATGCGTTCGTGCACTCAGGCCGATTTCCTCGCTTCTGTGGAGGAGGCGAAGCAGCTGAATCCCGTACGAGCACCGCAGTTCCAGCTGGTTCTCTACGGGCTGTACAAGCAGGCGACTGCAGGAAGCATCACTTCGTGTACGGCTTTCGTTCGTTTTGCATTTTGCGACCAGTGTCTCGCTTCTAGGTTGTCAGTAACTTCCTACGTAGTCAGTGTTCACTCACAGTAGTCGCGACTTTACATTTTTTTCCGCTCATTCCGTCGTCGTCTACTCGCACATTTTGTTAGAAACGGAGCTGACGTTACCACGGATGGCTGTGCAGGTTCAGAAGATGACGTGGACACTGACGACCAAGAGAAAGTCCAGGCTTGGCGCGACTTCGCAGGTCAGCTTGCATCGCATCGAGAATCGCGAGCATGGTCCCTGAAGAGGGAGACTGCTGTGGACTCAAGCATGAATAGACGTCCATGATTGTGCCATTCCATCCATACCAGTCCAGTCCTAACAATTTCTTTCGCCCTCCTGCAGGCCTCAGCATCGAGGTCGCTATGGTGAACTACGTTCAGAAAGTGAAGCAGTTCCAGATGCTCTTCTCGCCTTCTTGAATAAGCTGGGCGCCTCATGAGCGCATTGCAGTCTGAAGTTGTGCTGTACTGCCATTACCGAGCCCAGTAGGGCAATTCTCATGCCATGCTGGAAGTGTCTGCATGTATATATGTAACATTGTTTGGTCCCTCCTTTACCTTCCCGTACCCCTAGGTAGGATGTGACAATTATAAGGGTGCATTCCTGCCTGGGAATTTGTGTCTCAATTGTTTTGTGACGCGAGGAAACAGCATAAAACGTACCATGTCACAAATGCGAGACGCGTTTCAGCGACCATTACTGTATTTTTCATTGGTCAGCGTGAAACGCGCTGACGTCGCGGACGAGTTGCAAATTGACCCGTCACTGGAATCTCACGCGGTTCGAGATGTCAATAATGCACCTGGACACCACACAATGCGAATTTCGCGCGCGTAAGAATTCCCGCGCGTCGAAACCACACCCCAGCCAGGCGGTTGAATAAAAGGGTGTACAGTTATTTGCGAAATCCAATCAAATGCGCACAACTGTACATTTCGCCTGGTCGCCTAGTGTCGCAATACATTCATTTTTTGTGATGCGAGGTTCCCAAAATGTTTCGACGCGACTCGGGGAAACGGGGATTGAGACACAAATGTCCAGGCAGGAATGCACCCTAACACCGCCTTTCTACCTGGGGTTCGATGGAAGACCAGTCAAAAAGCCGGCAAAATGCAGGCAATACTCGTCCTGAAGATGCTGAATCCCAGCCCAAGTATTGAACAGGACATCAGGCAGCTGAAACTAAAAGGATGTCTGGCAGAGCGGGCAGGTGGACTTGTGGGAGGATTGGAACCACTGATAGAGACACTCAGGATGGAACTTGTGCTTGCACGTGCGGCACTGCAGACGTGGCAGGCTGCCATTGGACGAGTGGATGACACTGTAGCAGATGGGGCAATCCTCCACCCCTTCAAACTTCTTCTCTGCACACTCGCACCACTGCACCACCGCATCTGCCACCGACCCCCCTCCCAGCAGCAGGAACGAGTTCGCCGCCAGCAGCCACTTGCGCATCTCGGCCTCTTTCATGCCTGCCCCTTTGGAACTTTCGACAGCTGCCCCTCGCAGCGGGTAGCTTTCGGGCAGCTTGATGACGAGCTCCAGCTTGGCCTCGTCCTTGCAGTATGCCGCCCACACCTCGCGCGCCGACCGCCGCGTGCGCACCGTCAGGTCCTCCTTGCTGCCGCCCGCCTTCTGCGCCTGGTGGAGAAGGGAAGGGGGTGGGGAAGGAGGCAGGGGGGGAGCGGCAAAGGAACGGGATGTGGCTGGGGAGATTCAAGAGAAGAAGGAAGTAAGGACTGTGCCTAACTACGTGGTATATTAGTCAAATGAATGGGAAATACAAGGTCTGGGTTATGCGGGAGGCGTAGAGGGAAATGCATACTTGTGTGAGTTCGAGGGCGATCATGTGGGCACTGCAGTACCGAGCGGTGAAGATGTCCATGCCCCGCCGCACTCCCTTCTCCCGCACATCCGCATACCACCGCCTCACCCCCCCTGGCACCACCCGCAGCGCCGCCCCAAACACCGCTGCTGCAAGGCTGCGCATGCGTGGTACCGATAATTTGCCTGCCCCGGGCAGGGTTAAAACTTCCAGCGCCACGTCCAGAGGCGAGGCCTGGGCAACTGCCCGTGTGGCAAAATCCCCGGCTTGAGAAACGGCAGGGGGAAGGGGTCCTGAGGGGTTGAGATGGATGAGGCGACGAGCAGAGGCGGAGGAGTGTGAGGGGGAGGGTGCGAGGAGGAGGTTTTGAGCAACGAGGTCGAGGAGGACCGTGAGTGTGGGAGTGGCTTGGATAAAGGCGACAAGGTGGTCGCGAGGGGAGGATGGCGATGCAGCAGAGGGGGTTGCGGTGGAGGGAGGTGGGGATGGGGGTGAGGTGGGGAGGGATTGGATGCGGTGCAGCACAAGACAAGCTGCCAGGTAGTGCCGCACCCGCTGCGGTGACGTCAGAGCTGACGTCAGCAACTCCTTCCGATTGGCTGACTGCAGAATGTGAGCCAGCTCAGGTCTGACGCCATCACCAACTGGCTCGCCATGTGTCTCCCCTTCTCCTCCGCCCTTCACCACCCCTGTCCCCACAGCAGCAGGCAACACCTGCTCCCTAGATAGACACCAGAATGCAGCCAATCGCACGCTGCCACCTGGCGACGGGCCGCACATGAGCGCATACAGCCCTGCGATTGGCCCTCGCCCAGCCCCCCAGATCTCTGCCGCCCGCACCGCTGCTTCCACCGCCCGCGGCGGGGCGGCAAGCACTGCGCACGACAGCTGGAGGAAAAAGAGTGGATGCTGCAGCCGCCAGGCTGTCATGGGCTGGCTGCTCTGAGCACTGCTGGCAGCACTGCTGGCAGCGGTGCTGTGAGGGAGGGCTGCCTCTGCTAGCCCGGTGGCAATGAAGATGCGCAAGGCATGCTCCGACCCCTGCCGTACCACCGCTGCGCTTGCCTCCCATGCCCACAGCGAGGATGGCGACGCCCATGCAGAGGCTGATGTCCAGAGCCACAAGACGCTGCTGCTGCTGCTGGCTGCGGGGGCGGCAGAGGCGTGGGAGTGGAGCGCGAGCAGCATGGAGAGCAGTGAGAGGGCAGCACCTGGCACGTCCAATGGCATGGCCTCCAGTCGCCCTGCCATGCCACTCATCCTCCCCGACTCATCATCACCTGCTGGCCTCTCCCCTGCTGGCCTCTCCCCTGCTGGCCTCTCCCCGGCTGGCCTCTCCCCTGCTGGCCTCTCCCCTGCTGGCCTCTCCCCTGCTGGCCTCTCCCCTGCTGGCCTCTCCCCGGCTGGCCTCTCCCCTGCTGGCCTCTCCCCTGCTGGCCTCTCCCCTGCTGGCCTCTCCCCGGCTGGCCTCTCCCCTGCTGGCCTCTCCCCTGCTGGCCTCTCCCCTGCTGGCCTCTCCCCTGCTGGCCTCTCCCCGGCTGGCCTCTCCCCTGCTGGCCTCTCCCCTGCTGGCCTCTCCCCTGCTGGCCTCTCCCCTGCTGGCCTCTCCCCTGCTGGCCTCTCCCCTGCTGGCCTCTCCCCTGCTGGCCTCTCCCCTGCTGGCCTCTCCCCTGCTGGCCTCTCCCCTGCTGGCCTCTCCCCTGCTGGCCTCTCCCCTGCTGGCCTCTCCCTGCTGGCCTCTCCCCTGCTGGCCTCTCCCCTGCTGGCCTCTCCCTGCTGGCCTCTCCCCTGCTGGCCTCTCCCCTGCTGGCCTCTCCCCTGCTGGCCTCTCCCCTGCTGGCCTCTCCCCTGCTGGCCTCTCCCCTGCTGGCCTCTCCCCTGCTGGCCTCTCCCCTGCTGGCCTCTCCCCTGCTGGCCTCTCCCCTGCTGGCCTCTCCCCTGCTGGCCTCTCCCCTGCTGGCCTCTCCCCTGCTGGCCTCTCCCCTGCTGGCCTCTCCCCTGCTGGCCTCTCCCCTGCTGGCCTCTCCCCCTGCTGGCCTCTCCCCTGCTGGCCTCTCCCCTGCTGGCCTCTCCCTGCCCTGCTGGCCTCTCCCCTGCTGGCCTCTCCCCTGCTGGCCTCTCCCCTGCTGGCCTCTCCCCTGCTGGCCTCTCCCCTGCTGGCCTCTCCCCTGCTGGCCTCTCCCCTGCTGGCCTCTCCCCTGCTGGCCTCTCCCCTGCTGGCCTCTCCCCTGCTGGCCTCTCCCCTGCTGGCCTCTCCCCTGCTGGCCTCTCCCCTGCTGGCCTCTCCCCTGCTGGCCTCTCCCCTGCTGGCCTCTCCCCTGCTGGCCTCTCCCCTGCTGGCCTCTCCCCTGCTGGCCTCTCCCCTGCTGGCCTCTCCCCTGCTGGCCTCTCCCCTGCTGGCCTCTCCCCTGCTGGCCTCTCCCCTGCTGGCCTCTCCCCTGCTGGCCTCTCCCCTGCTGGCCTCTCCCCGGCTGGCCTCTCCCCTGCTGGCCTCTCCCCTGCTGGCCTCTCCCCTGCTGGCCTCTCCCCTGCTGGCCTCTCCCCGGCTGGCCTCTCCCCTGCTGGCCTCTCCCCTGCTGGCCTCTCCCCTGCTGGCCTCTCCCCTGCTGGCCTCTCCCCTGCTGGCCTCTCCCCTGCTGGCCTCTCCCCTGCTGGCCTCTCCCCTGCTGGCCTCTCCCCTGCTGGCCTCTCCCCTGCTGGCCTCTCCCCTGCTGGCCTCTCCCCTGCTGGCCTCTCCCCTGCTGGCCTCTCCCCTGCTGGCCTCTCCCCTGCTGGCCTCTCCCCTGCTGGCCTCTCCCCTGCTGGCCTCTCCCCTGCTGGCCTCTCCCCTGCTGGCCTCTCCCCTGCTGGCCTCTCCCCTGCTGGCCTCTCCCCTGCTGGCCTCTCCCCTGCTGGCCTCTCCCCTGCTGGCCTCTCCCCTGCTGGCCTCTCCCCTGCTGGCCTCTCCCCTGCTGGCCTCTCCCCTGCTGGCCTCTCCCCTGCTGGCCTCTCCCCTGCTGGCCTCTCCCCTGCTGGCCTCTCCCCTGCTGGCCTCTCCCCTGCTGGCCTCTCCCCTGCTGGCCTCTCCCCTGCTGGCTGCCTCTCCCCTGCTGGCCTCTCCCCTGCTGGCCTCTCCCCTGCTGGCCTCTCCCCTGCTGGCCTCTCCCCTGCTGGCCTCTCCCCTGCTGGCCTCTCCCCTGCTGGCCTCTCCCCTGCTGGCCTCTCCCCTGCTGGCCTCTCCCCTGCTGGCCTCTCCCCTGCTGGCCTCTCCCCTGCTGGCCTCTCCCCTGCTGGCCTCTCCCCTGCTGGCCTCTCCCCTGCTGGCCTCTCCCCTGCTGGCCTCTCCCCTGCTGGCCTCTCCCCTGCTGGCCTCTCCCCTGCTGGCCTCTCCCCTGCTGGCCTCTCCCCTGCTGGCCTCTCCCCTGCTGGGCTGGCCTCCTCCCCTGCTGGCCTCTCCCCTGCTGGCCTCTCCCCTGCTGGCCTCTCCCCTGCTGGCCTCATCCCCTGCTGGCCTCTCCCCTGCTGGCCTCTCCCCTGCTTGGCCTCTCCCCTGCTGGCCTCTCCCCTGCTGGCCTCCTCCCCTGCTGGCCTCTCCCCTGCTGGCCCTCTCCCCTGCTGGCCTCTCCCCTGCTGGCCTCTCCCCTGCTGGCCTCTCCCCTGCTGGCCTCTCCCCTGCTGGCCTCTCCCCCTGCTGGCCTCTCCCCTGCTGGCCTCTCCCCTGCTGGCCTCTCCCCTGCTGGCCTCTCCCCTGCTGGCCTCTCCCCTGCTGGCCTCATCCCCTGCTGGCCTCTCCCTGCTGGCCTCTCCCCTGCTGGCCTCTCCCCTGCTGGCCTCTCCCCTGCTGGCCTCTTCCCCTGCTGGCCTCTCCCCTGCTGGCCTCTCCCTGCTGGCCTCTCCCCTGCTGGCCTCTCCCCTGCTGGCCTCTCCCCTGCTGGCCTCTCCCCTGCTGGCCTCTCCCCTGCTGGCCTCTCCCCTGCTGGCCTCTCCCCTGCTGGCCTCTCCCCTGCTGGCCTCTCCCCTGCTGGCCTCTCCCCTGCTGGCCTCTCCCCTGCTGGCCTCTCCCCTGCTGGCCTCTCCCCTGCTGGCCTCTCCCCTGCTGGCCTCTCCCCTGCTGGCCTCTCCCCTGCTGGCCTCTCCCCTGCTGGCCTCTCCCCTGCTGGCCTCTCCCCTGCTGGCCTCTCCCCTGCTGGCCTCTCCCCTGCTGGCCTCTCCCCTGCTGGCCTCTCCCCTGCTGGCCTCTCCCCTGCTGGCCTCTCCCCTGCTGGCCTCTCCCCTGCTGGCCTCTCCCCTGCTGGCCTCTCCCCTGCTGGCCTCTCCCCTGCTGGCCTCTCCCCTGCTGGCCTCTCCCCTGCTGGCCTCTCCCCTGCTGGCCTCTCCCCTGCTGGCCTCTCCCCTGCTGGCCTCTCCCCTGCTGGCCTCTCCCCTGCTGGCCTCTCCCCTGCTGGCCTCTCCCCTGCTGGCCTCTCCCCTGCTGGCCTCTCCCCTGCTGGCCTCTCCCCTGCTGGCCTCTCCCCTGCTGGCCTCTCCCCTGCTGGCCTCTCCCCTGCTGGCCTCTCCCCTGCTGGCCTCTCCCCTGCTGGCCTCTCCCCTGCTGGCCTCTCCCCTGCTGGCCTCTCCCCTGCTGGCCTCTCCCCTGCTGGCCTCTCCCCTGCTGGCCTCTCCCCTGCTGGCCTCTCCCCTGCTGGCCTCTCCCCTGCTGGCCTCTCCCCTGCTGGCCTCTCCCCTGCTGGCCTCTCCCCTGCTGGCCTCTCCCCTGCTGGCCTCTCCCCTGCTGGCCTCTCCCCTGCTGGCCTCTCCCCTGCTGGCCTCTCCCCTGCTGGCCTCTCCCCTGCTGGCCTCTCCCCTGCTGGCCTCTCCCCTGCTGGCCTCTCCCCTGCTGGCCTCTCCCCTGCTGGCCTCTCCCCTGCTGGCCTCTCCCCTGCTGGCCTCTCCCCTGCTGGCCTCTCCCCTGCTGGCCTCTCCCCTGCTGGCCTCTCCCCTGCTGGCCTCTCCCCTGCTGGCCTCTCCCCTGCTGGCCTCTCCCCTGCTGGCCTCTCCCCTGCTGGCCTCTCCCCTGCTGGCCTCTCCCCTGCTGGCCTCTCCCCTGCTGGCCTCTCCCCTGCTGGCCTCTCCCCTGCTGGCCTCTCCCCTGCTGGCCTCTCCCCTGCTGGCCTCTCCCCTGCTGGCCTCTCCCCTGCTGGCCTCTCCCCTGCTGGCCTCTCCCCTGCTGGCCTCTCCCCTGCTGGCCTCTCCCCTGCTGGCCTCTCCCCTGCTGGCCTCTCCCCTGCTGGCCTCTCCCCTGCTGGCCTCTCCCCTGCTGGCCTCTCCCCTGCTGGCCTCTCCCCTGCTGGCCTCTCCCCTGCTGGCCTCTCCCCTGCTGGCCTCTCCCCTGCTGGCCTCTCCCCTGCTGGCCTCTCCCCTGCTGGCCTCTCCCCTGCTGGCCTCTCCCCTGCTGGCCTCTCCCCTGCTGGCCTCTCCCCTGCTGGCCTCTCCCCTGCTGGCCTCTCCCCTGCTGGCCTCTCCCCTGCTGGCCTCTCCCCTGCTGGCCTCTCCCCTGCTGGCCTCTCCCCTGCTGGCCTCTCCCCTGGCCTCTCCCTGCTGGCCTCTCCCCTGCTGGCCTCTCCCCTGCTGGCCTCTCCCCTGCTGGCCTCTCCCCTGCTGGCCTCTCCCCTGCTGGCCTCTCCCCTGCTGGCCTCTCCCCTGCTGGCCTCTCCCCTGCTGGCCTCTCCCCTGCTGGCCTCTCCCCCTGCTGGCCTCTCCCCTGCTGGCCTCTCCCCTGCTGGCCTCTTCCCCTGCTGGCCTCTCCCCTGCTGGCCTCTCCCCTGCTGGCCTCTCCCCTGCTGGCCTCTCCCCTGCTGGCCTCTCCCCTGCTGGCCTCTCCCCTGCTGGCCTCTCCCCTGCTGGCCTCTCCCCTGCTGGCCTCTCCCCTGCTGGCCTCTCCCCTGCTGGCCTCTCCCCTGCTGGCCTCTTCCCCCCTGCTGCCTCTCCCCTGCTGGCCTCTCCCCTGCTGGCCTCTCCCCTGCTGGCCTCTCCCCTGCTGGCCTCTCCCCTGCTGGCCTCTCCCCTGCTGGCCTCTCCCCTGCTGGCCTCTCCCCTGCTGGCCTCATCCCCTGCTGGCCTCTCCCCTGCTGGCCTCTCCCCTGCTGGCCTCTCCCCTGCTGGCCTCTCCCCTGCTGGCCTCTCCCCTGCTGGCCTCTCCCCTGCTGGCCTCTCCCCTGCTGGCCTCTCCCCTGCTGGCCTCTCCCCTGCTGGCCTCTCCCCTGCTGGCCTCTCCCCTGCTGGCCTCTCCCCTGCTGGCCTCTCCCCTGCTGGCCTCTCCCCTGCTGGCCTCTCCCCTGCTGGCCTCTCCCCTGCTGGCCTCTCCCCTGCTGGCCTCTCCCCTGCTGGCCTCTCCCCTGCTGGCCTCTCCCCTGCTGGCCTCTCCCCTGCTGGCCTCTCCCCTGCTGGCCTCTCCCCTGCTGGCCTCTCCCTGCTGGCCTCTCCCCTGCTGGCCTCTCCCCTGCTGGCCTCTCCCCTGCTGGCCTCTCCCCTGCTGGCCTCTCCCCTGCTGGCCTCTCCCCTGCTGGCCTCTCCCCTGCTGGCCTCTCCCCTGCTGGCCTCTCCCCTGCTGGCCTCTCCCCTGCTGGCCTCTCCCCTGCTGGCCTCTCCCCTGCTGGCCTCTCCCCTGCTGGCCTCTCCCCTGCTGGCCTCTCCCCTGCTGGCCTCTCCCCTGCTGGCCTCTCCCCTGCTGGCCTCTCCCCTGCTGGCCTCTCCCCTGCTGGCCTCTCCCCTGCTGGCCTCTCCCCTGCTGGCCTCTCCCCTGCTGGCCTCTCCCCTGCTGGCCTCTCCCCTGCTGGCCTCTCCCCTGCTGGCCTCTCCCCTGCTGGCCTCTCCCCTGCTGGCCTCTCCCCTGCTGGCCTCTCCCCTGCTGGCCTCTCCCCTGCTGGCCTCTCCCCTGCTGGCCTCTCCCCTGCTGGCCTCTCCCCTGCTGGCCTCTCCCCTGCTGGCCTCTCCCCTGCTGGCCTCTCCCCTGCTGGCCTCTCCCCTGCTGGCCTCTCCCTGCTGGCCTCTCCCCTGCTGGCCTCTTCCCCTGCTGGCCTCTCCCCTGCTGGCCTCTCCCCTGCTGGCCTCTCCCCTGCTGGCCTCTCCCCTGCTGGCCTCTCCCCTGCTGGCCTCTCCCCTGCTGGCCTCTCCCCTGCTGGCCTCTCCCCTGCTGGCCTCTCCCCTGCTGGCCTCTCCCCTGCTGGCCTCTCCCCTGCTGGCCTCTCCCCTGCTGGCCTCTCCCCTGCTGGCCTCTCCCCCTGCTGGCCTCTCCCCTGCTGGCCTCTCCCCTGCTGGCCTCTCCCCTGCTGGCCTCTCCCCTGCTGGCCTCTCCCCTGCTGGCCTCTCCCCTGCTGGCCTCTCCCCTGCTGGCCTCTCCCCTGCTGGCCTCTCCCCTGCTGGCCTCTCCCCTGCTGGCCTCTCCCTGCTGGCCTCTCCCCTGCTGGCCTCTCCCCTGCTGGCCTCTCCCCTGCCTGGCCTCTCCCCTGCTGGCCTCTCCCCTGCTGGCCTCTCCCCTGCTGGCCTCTCCCCTGCTGGCCTCTCCCCTGCTGGCCTCTCCCCTGCTGGCCTCTCCCCTGCTGGCCTCTCCCCTGCTGGCCTCTCCCCTGCTGGCCTCTCCCCTGCTGGCCTCTCCCCTGCTGGCCTCTCCCCTGCTGGCCTCTCCCCTGCTGGCCTCTCCCCTGCTGGCCTCTCCCCTGCTGGCCTCTCCCCTGCTGGCCTCTCCCCTGCTGGCCTCTCCCCTGCTGGCCTCTCCCCTGCTGGCCTCTCCCCTGCTGGCCTCTCCCCTGCTGGCCTCTCCCCTGCTGGCCTCTCCCCTGCTGGCCTCTCCCCTGCTGGCCTCTCCCCTGCTGGCCTCTCCCCTGCTGGCCTCTCCCCTGCTGGCCTCTCCCCTGCTGGCCTCTCCCCTGCTGGCCTCTCCCCTGCTGGCCTCTCCCCTGCTGGCCTCTCCCCTGCTGGCCTCTCCCCTGCTGGCCTCTCCCCTGCTGGCCTCTCCCCTGCTGGCCTCTCCCCTGCTGGCCTCTCCCCTGCTGGCCTCTCCCCTGCTGGCCTCTCCCCTGCTGGCCTCTCCCCTGCTGGCCTCTCCCCTGCTGGCCTCCCTCTCCCCTGCTGGCCTCTCCCCTGCTGGCCTCTCCCCTGCTGGCCTCTCCCCTGCTGGCCTCTCCCCTGCTGGCCTCTCCCCTGCTGGCCTCTCCCCTGCTGGCCTCTCCCCTGCTGGCCTCTCCCCTGCTGGCCTCTCCCCTGCTGGCCTCTCCCCTGCTGGCCTCTCCCCTGCTGGCCTCTCCCCTGCTGGCCTCTCCCCTGCTGGCCTCTCCCCTGCTGGCCTCTCCCCTGCTGGCCTCTCCCCTGCTTGCCTCTCCCCTGCTGCTCTCCTTCCCACAACCCCTTCCTCCCCCACCCCATCTCCCATCCCCTCCACCAGCTCCTCAAACGATATGGCTGCAGCTGCGAGCGCCCGCCGCAGCCTGCCGCCCACAAACGCCACATCAGCTTCCGTCATCTCCTGCCAGCTGTATGCCACTGCTGAGCTGGCGAGCGCGAGGAGCCAGCGATCCACCTGCGCCACCCACTCCTCCCTGCTCTCCTGTGTGCTCTCCCGTGCTTCCTCGCCCCCCACCTGCTGCTGCTGCTGCAATGCCTCCCTGTTTGTGGCTGCACCAGTGGCACTGCTGTGCACCTGTGCTGCCCTTCCATTCCCCCCACCGCCCTGCTTCTCCTCCTCGTCCAACTCATCAAGCTCGTCAAGTGCGACGTCATCATTGCTACCTGCATCACCACTCCCGGCCTCATCCAACTCATCCAATTCATCAAGCTCGTCTAGATCACCCCCCTCTACCATGTCTGCAATCACACCCCTGGCATGCCTCATCTTACCACTGCTCTCTGCACTGCTCGTCTCCCCGGGCCCCACGCTGCCCGCATCAGCAGCAGGCGCGGCAGCAGCCAGGCGGGCAGCAGCGGCAGCGGCAGCAATGGCGGCAGTGGCGAGGCGGGAGGTCTGCAGGCGCAGCAGGGCGAGCAGGGCGGCGCACTGGGAGGGGCTGCTGGTGGGGATGGTGGCGGTGGCGGAGGAGTGGGCCTCGGGAGGAGAGGAGGTGAGGCTGGGTGAAATGGATGATGTCGATGATGGTGGCATGGGGAAGAGCGCCAAGGCGAGGGCGTGCAGGGCGAGCGAGTCTGCACAGATTGAGGGGAAGGTGGGGAAGGAAGGTGGGGAGGGGCAGGGGGGGAAAGAGGAGAGGGAGATGGATAGACTTTGGCTTCCACTTGGGGAGAAGCGGAACGGTTGTGAGAGCACTAATGGCCATGTGTGAGGGGATGCGGGTGTGTGCCCCGGTGTGGTGTGGTGCCTGCAATGCGGCACTTGTGAGGCTCTCGTGTGGCACCATGAGAGGCGCTAACCCACAGAGCCACCACTCACCTCTTGCCTCCGCACTCTGCTGCTCCACACATGCAACAAGTGGCAGCGCCTCATTGGTTCGCTGCACCCACGACACCACCTCCTCCTCCACCTGCTGCTCCAACGCCCCTTTCCGCCCTCCTTCCCCATCCGCTGCTGCACCTTCCCCTGCTGCCTCGCCGTGCCCTGCCTGCCCGCCCCATCGCACCACAGGCATCAGTATGCCTGTCACCTCTGCCACCACCCACGCTCTCCCTCGCCCTCTCCCCTTCCCACCATCCCCATGGGAAGAGATGTCCCCTTCCCCGCCCTCCCTCTCCGCCTTCAGTGCTGCCAGCTGCTGCTGCACCACCTGCCACGCCTGCCTTGGGCCCCACGCCCCTGTTGCAAGGAACCTTCTAAGAAGCCCGCAGAGTGCCTTCAAGGCAAACGATGCATGTGTGAGAGTGGTCGTGGCAGGACTGGGACGAGCTGGGTCCATTCCCTGGGATGCCACTTGCACCAATACACTCACCACCTCGCTCACAAGCCTTCCCTCCGCTCTGCCCACTACCCCTCCTCCCACTCCTGCTCCCTCTGCTGCCTCTCCCTCCTTCATCTCCCCTCCCTCCCCCTCCACCCCCACCTGCCGTGCCACTCGCACCATCAGCTCCACCACCACCGCCGGGCCAATCCCGAGGGAATCACTTTCGAGACTGCCCAATGAGAGGCCGCCACGTGGCGTGATGGTGGAGTGATGGTGGTGGCGCATTGAGTGCTCCTCCTGCCAGGCGCACATCATCTCAACCGCAAGTGCCGCCCGCCCGCCGCCCGCTGAGCAGAAGAAAACGGCGGATGGGCCGAGGAGGTGAGTGAGGTGAGAGAGGAAGTGGAGGAGGCGGGAGGAGAGGAGGTGTGAGGGGGGTTGGGAGATTGCGGAGGAGAGATGAGGAGGAGGTGGCAGTGCGTTGATAATGCTGTCAATGTGACTGTACCCTGTCGTACCACTGTCACGAGAACCAGCCGTGACACAAGAGTTGGGGAAGTGACCCACAAATCGAGGCCATTTTTGCTCCCCTCCACCCATCAACTCGAGATCGGCCAGAAGCCACCCAATCACACGCCTCTCTGCCGCCTCCTTCCCGCCTTGCAGCTGGAAGAAACGGATAAGATCCGCCGCCCAGCGCGCACAGAGGTGTGGGCGGCAGTGGGAGAGAGGAGATGCAGCAGTAGTAGCAAGAGATCGAGTGAGCAGGCGTGCAGTGAGGGTAACTACTGGCGTAGGGGCAGTGAGGGTGGCTGATGGCGCATGGGTAGAGTGAATGGTGGTGTGACTGGTGGAGGGAGGGTGTGAGAGGAGCGAGACCCATTGGTTAGCTGCAGCAAGCAGAGCTGGTAACACAGTTACTGCCACAGGTCCTGCCATGTCAGCACCTGTGGATGCGAGCCCTGCAGTCTCACTCCCTTCTCCAGCGCCTGTCCCACCTGCCCCCACACCCATTTCAACCCCTGCTGCACCCGATGCTGCTCCTGCTGATCCTACCGCCACTGCTGCTCCACCCCCTCCCAGAACCTTCTCCATATACCCCTCCCCTGATGCCCCTCCTCCTCCCCCCTCCTCTTCTTCCTCCAACTCCAGCCCCTCCTCTCCCTCCTCCTCCTCGCCCCCCTCCTCCTTCGTTTCCTCCTCCTCATCTTCACTCTCCTCCTCACTCCCTGCCTGTTCTCCCTTGCCTGGCTCCCCTTCCCCCAGGCACCAGCTTACATGGTAAGACGAGCAAGCAGCAACCACCGCCAGCAAATCACCGCGCGACAGCTCAGCAGAGCTTGCGCTGCTGGCAGACGTGTAGGAGGCGAGCCACAGGGGTTCCAGGACGTCAAGGCACGCTGCGAGCTCGGCCTGTGCTGACGTGGCATCCCCCTCACCTCCTCCTCCTCCTGACTCTGCTTTTTCTGATGCTCCTGCCTCCAACCCCTCCCCCCCTGCACCTCCCTCTCGTCTCACCAGCAGCAGCAGCGGCTGCAGCATGAGACTGAGAGTGTGGAGGGCGGGAGAGGAGGAGAGCACGAGGAGGGAGGAGAGCAGGTGTGAATGCAGAGAGGCATAGACCGAGGCAAGGCAGGAAGGTGACAGCCAAGAACGCGAGGAGGGGAGAGGGATGGGCGTGGGAGCAGCAGGATGCGAAGAGAGGAGCGTTCGGAGGAGCCATTGGGAGGAGGGGATGAGCAGCAGCGGCATGGATGCAGCCATGTGCATGGCCAAGTGGTCAAGAGCGGTGCTGGCCGTGGCGGTGAGGGGAGATGAGGGGGCGGAGAGTGAGGAGAGGAGAGCAGCGAGGAGGCAAGCGGGTATGTTGAGGGAGGAGGAGCATCCACCATGACCCCCACCTGCCTCTGCCTCGCTCTGCTTGGCTGGGTGGAGTGCAGAAGTGCACAGCCGCTGCACGATGAGCGACAGGCAGTTCTCGCCCTCTGCTGCACCTGATTCGGTTCCACCTGTGCTGCTCGCACTGCTGCTGCTAGTGGTGAAGGTGGTGGTGATGGTGCTGTGTGGCGGAGGGAGCAGGGCGAGGTGCGAGAGGAGCTTCACGTGCAGAACAAACACAGCCCTCCCATCCACCCTGCCACTCGCTCCCTCTCCTACCCCAGCCTCCGTGTCTGCCAGCAGCAAGTCGAGCAGCTGCAGGGGAGTCGTGCCACTGCGAGCCATGGTAGCTGTACTGTCCGTTAAATCATGCGCCGCCAGCTGGCACAGGATGGCTGGTGCTCCAAACATGTCGACCAGTGCCGCCGCCATGGCTGCTGCGGCTTCCATGCGGGCGGGGGAGGATGAAGAGGGGAGGGGAGAGGACGGGAGCGGGAGGGGCAGCGCGAGGGGCAGCAGTCGGTGCATGAGAGGTGACACCACTGCAGGCACCACCCACTCCATACGCTCGCCACTGCCCTTCACACCGCCTGCTGTTGCTGATGCCACTCCTGTGGGCCCTGCTGCTGCTGCTGTCGGCTTGAGCTGCTGCAGCAGCGCCAGCACTGAGTGCACTGTGCTGCTGTCGCTAGTGCACTTGCCTGTGCTGTGACCACCATCAGCAGCAGCGCTCCCTGCCAGTGCTCGCCTCAGCAGCGCCACTTGACCCTCCCCTGTGCTCTCCTTCTTGGCAGCGTCAGCAGGAGAAGGAACACCAGCAGCAGTGGGGGCATCAACAGCAGACAGCACAGCATCCACCACACACGACCACAAGCCGTCCATAACAGACCCTCTCTGTGCCTCGCCCCTCCCCAGCTCTTGCGTCTCCTCCCCTCCGCCCCCCTTCCACCCCTTCCCCCTCTCCACCTGCACTATCTGCCTCACCGTCTCTCCCACACACGCCACCACCGCTCCCAGCCACGCACTCCCACTCTTCCTCTCACCTGCTGCCACCCCGCCCCTCCCACCTTCACCCTTGCCACCGCTGCTCTCCGTCTTTTGTGGACCGTGCGGATCCGAGCCTGGGTCCGGACCTGTGTGCCTAGGCTCGGGAAGAAGGTCCAGAAAACACAAATCCCACAACACCACTTTCACTAATTCTTCAGCTCTGCCTTCGGATGAGTCCGTAGAGCCGAGTGGCCCGTACCCAGAGCTTGTTGGCTGCCTCATGTACCTGATGACCTGCACTCGACCGGACCTGGCATACCCTCTTAGCATCTTGGCACGCTATGTTGCTCCTGGGAGACACCGACCAGAGCACATGGCTGTAGCGAAGAGGGTGTTGCGCTACTTGTGCAGTACGTCGGGCATGGGGCTCGTGCTTGGAGGGCGGAGTCCAGTAGTCCTCACTGGTCACGCAGACGCGTCTTGGGTTGACGACCTGGCTACGCAGTGGTCGTCACAGGGTTACACCTTCAGCCTTGGTTCCGGCTCTGTTTCGTGGCGGTCTACCCGCTCGTCTTTTGTTCTCAGCTCCAGCTGTGAAGCTGAGATCTATGCAGGGGCCATGGCTGCACAGGAGTTACGCTGGCTCACCTACCTGCTGAGTGACCTGGGAGAGCCGCCTCGTTCTCCTCCAGTTCTGTACGTAGACAACAAGGCCATGCTGGCCTTGTGTCGGGAGCACAGACTGGAGCACAGAACGAAGCACATTGCTCTTCGCTACTTCCTTGCTCGTGAGCTGCAGCAGCGTGGTCAGCTGCGCCTTGCTTACGTGGCCTCTCAGGCCAACACTGCTGATATCTTCACCAAGGTACTTCAGCCTTGTGATCATCAGCGTTTCTGTACTATGCTAGGTCTTGTGCCTACTTGGCCTCACTTGCTTACCTCTTGACTTTACTTGTACTGTGATCTATATATACCTGCACCTGCTTGTTTACCTTTCATATATAATCATGCATGTGAACTGGCCTTGTGGCCTTTGAACCTGTGCTCGGAATGTGTGGTGACGTTGTGATCCACCCGGAGCTTGCTTTGC